AGAAACTGGAAACTTCAAGTTTGCCTATAGTAAAGAGGAAGTTTTATTGACTATAGAAAACTGAATCCCCTCTCCCAATGCAAACACTTTTTGCTGAGAGGAGGGTGGTAATTAGGAATTTGTTAACTTACTCAGTCTTAAAAAATGACAGTCTTAAAGATTTAATTGCTTGACTATTGCTTATTAATTAATTGATTATTAATTACCTGGAAACTCTGTGTGTGTGTGTGTGTGTGTGTGTGTAGGGGGGTATTCACTACACGAGGGAGTAGCCATCTGGCCTTTTCCTGAAAAACTCCTGGGAGGAAGAAACCCATCACCTCCTGAGGCAGCTGTTCATTCGCTCTCATTTGGACAGCTCCCACTGTTAGGACATTTTTTCCGGTTATCAATTCTAAACTGATCTCTTTACAGTTTTCACCTAGTGCCCCTGCTTCTGCCCTCAGGAGCCAAACAAAACAAGTCTAAAGTCTCTTCCAGGAGACAGCCCTTCAAGTACCTGGAGACAGATGTTCATCTTAAGCCTTTTCTTCTCCAGGCTCAACATTGCCGGTTCTATCTATTATTCCCCCACGGAAAGAAGGGAGGGAGGGAAAGAGGGAAGGAAAGAAGAAGAGAAGATGAAAGGAAGGAGGAAATGAGGGAAGGGAGGGAGAGAAGGAAGAAAACAAAGGGAAGGGAAGAAGGAAGAAAGGAAGGAAGGGAGGGAGGGAGGAGGGAGGAGGGAGGAAAGAAGAAAAGGAGGAAGGGAGGGAGGAAACAAGCATTTATTAAGTACCTATTAAGTGCCAGGCAGAGTGCTAAGTGTTTTACCAATATTATCTCATTTAATTCTTACAACAACCCTGGGAGGTAGGTGGCTATCATTATCCTCATTTTTCAGTTGAGGAAACTGACTTGCCCATGATCACACAACCAGTAAATGTCTGAGGTTGGATTTGGACTCAGCTCTCCCTGACGCCAAATCTAGCATTCTGTCCACTGTGACACTTATCTGGTGGACTCTTTACCTAGCTACCTAGGCCCTTTGCCATTCTTGCTGGCCTCCTATGGACACTCTTCATTTTATCAATGTCCCTCCTAAAATGTGGCATCAATACTGACCAATATCGGCAGGACAAACATGTCAGATCTTGTATTCCTTTGACCTCTGCTCCATCAAGGATGGCAGGCTAAGCAAAGTGGTGGTGGGGACAAAGGTTACCACAGTGGCCCCTTCAGAGAATCACATGGACTGTGAAGCTAATGCCAGAAAGAAATGCTGAAACAATCTCAGAGACAGCCGACTTCCAGATCTTGTCCTTCTTAGCACTAGAAAGATCAGTGTAACAGGGAGCCATACGCACTAAGGAACAACTCAGAATTCTCTGGCACTGTGAGTCATCTAGCCTAAGGCCTTTTCTTTCTTTCTTTTTTTTAGAAATAAATTTTATTGAGGTCTTTGGGTTGTTGTTGTTGTTGTTTTTATATTAGCAACATTTTCTCCAGTATCCCTCTCCTTTCCCTTCACAGAGAGAAAGCCCATACAACAGATGATTTTTTTTAAAGGAAAAGAAATCAGTAAAACTGATCAATACATTGTAGAAGTCTGGAAATATATGCAATGTGCCACACTTGTGGACCTCAGAAAAGGGATGGGGTGGGGATATTTCTTGTATATTTTCTCTTTTGTTTGTAATTTGCTTTTGTTTCCTTTTTGCAACATTTTGCAACATTTAATTTTTTATGGTTGTTATTTACATTTACATTGTCACAAATGTTCTATATATTGTATTCTTGGCTCTGCCTTCTTCACTCTGCATCTGTTCATATAGATCTTTACCTGCTCCTCTTTATTCACCACATTTGTCATTTCTCACAGCATGGTAACACTGCATAATATTAATATACCATAATTTGTTTAGCCATTCCCCAAAGGATGGACAATTACTGTTTCCAATTCTTTGCTATCACAAAAAAATGCTGCTGTGAATATGTTAATGTACATGGGGACTGAGGCTTCTTGTCAATAGCCTCCTTGGGGTATAATTCTAGTGGTAGAATTTCTGAGTCAAAAAATATGAATATTTTGTATATTATACACTATATATTTATATTATATATTATACAATACAATATATTACATCATATATATATATATATTTCAATGTATAATTTCAAGTTCCTTTCCAAAATTATTGTATGGGTTTAAAGCTCTACCAACAATGTGCTAGTGTGTCTGTCTTCTCATAATTCTTCTAACATTGATTATAGCCATCTTTTGTTATCTTTGCTAATTTGCAGGGTGTGAGATAAAACTTCAGAGTTGTTTTGATTTTTACTTCTCTTATTATTTGTGATTTGGAACATCATTTTATATGGTTGTTAATACTTTGAGATTCTTCTTTTGGGAATTATTTGTTCATATCCTTTGGGCAATTATCGTTGGAGAAAGTGAATAGGTAAGGTCAGATCCACTGAAAGGACAATCGCTTGGCACACTGAAAGAAAGAGAGAGTTTTCCAGATGGTTGAGTGTCTTGGATACAAAATCTGTCTGTCTTTTTAGTCAAGTTAAAGAAAGCATGTCCTATTATTAATGTCTTGCTAGGCTGGATGCTTGCAGGGTATTTGGGGGCCCTTTTGATAAGAACAAAATGAGCCAGAATCTGACTTCCCAAGGTTTCCCAAGAAGGAAGGTTGGCAATTCAGGGAGATTTTGTGAGAATTCCTCCAAAAATTATGTTCAGATCAATTTTATCAGGAGAAGAGTACCAAAATGAAACATGGATTATACCTTGCCATGAGGAAACTCACAGGACTGTATATACACAAGACTTCCCTCATTCAATAGATGAGGAGAACCTTTGGGATCCTTAAGTGCAGACCCTCCCCACCCCCACCTCTGGCAACCTAGTATTTCCCGGTTTCTCTCCAGGGCCCAGATTTTTATTGCCTTACAAACAAAGCTTCCTAGGGGTGTCATTTGAGCTGGATCTTGAGGGATGGGTTGGATTTCTCTTGGTGTTCCTTGCGTGGAAGGTCTTTTTTCTTTCTTTTTACTGAGGCAATTGGGGTTACGTGACTTGCCCAGGGTCACACAGCTAGTAAGTGTCAGGTGTCTGAGGCTGGATTTGAACTCAGGTCCTCCTGACTCCAAGGCCAGAGCTCTATCTACTGCACCACCTAGCTGCCCCCATGGAAGGTCTTACATGTTTCAGGAACATCATAAACATTTGTCTAATTCAACTAAAGAGCATATAGTCTCAAGGCAGGAAAGTGTAGTTTGACATGAGGTGGAGATGGCAAAGTCCTTATAAGGATGAGGAAAGATAAGAAAAGCTCAAAGCTCAAGGCAGGAATGCAACAGCAGTATATGTTTGGTGGGGGTTGGGGGTGGTCAATGTGCCTGGAATATAGGACATACAAACAGGAGATGTGAGAGAGGTCAGTCCATCAACAGCATTTATTGAATGCTTACGACGTTCGCACCAGGCACTGTGCTAAACTCCAAGGATACAAAGAAAGGTCAAAAGCACAGCCCCTACCCTCAGGGAGCTCACATTCTAATGAGGAAAAAAAGCATGCAAAAAACGTGTGTGTACAGCACACGTACAAGATAAATGAGAAGTAATCCCGGAGGAAAGACACTAGAGAGAAAGACACTGGACACACAATAGGCTGGATGAAGACCTCCGTGGCTGAGCTTCCTCAGACGTAAAATGGGGATAGCACCCGGGGAACTTATCTCACAAGGTTGCTGTCTATTTAGCTTAGAAACCCCCTTCCAGAGGGGCAGCGAGGTGGTGCAGTGGATATAGAGCTCCCACCTTGGAGTCAGGAGGACCTGAGCTCAAATCTGGCCTCAGACACTTGACACTTACTAGCTGTGTGATTCTGGACAAGTTACTTAACCCTGATTGCCTCCGCAAAAACAAAAAAGGAAACCACATTCCTTTTGGGTAATCCAGTTGAGAGATTAAGGACAATTAATAATAATAACAATAATAGCTAGCACTTACATAACATTTTAAGGTTTGCAAAGCACTTTACAAATAGTCTCTTGTCTGATCTTCAAACAACCCTAACAGGTAGGTGCTCTTATCCCCATTTTACAGATGAGAAAACTGAGGCAGACAGAAGGTTAAGTGCCTTGTCCATGGTCACACAGCTAGTTTCTGAGCTCAAAATTTGGACTCAGGTCTTTCTGACTCCAGGTCTGGTTCTCTGTGCACCAGCTGCCCTTACTATCAAGCTGAGACCCATTAAAGACCTTAGCTTGAAAGGGCCAAGGTTTTCTACTACATCCTGGGCCATATCCAGTTGTCCTGATCCATATCTGGCCACTGGACCCAGATGGTGCTGAAGGAGAAAGTGAGGCTGCTGATTGTGCACAGCCTTGCCTCACAAATCCAATTCACTTGCATGTCATGGCATCACCTCCCTGATGTTATGGTCCTCTTTGAGAATGAAGGACAGACAGCAGCAAGGAAATGAACTTGAGATCTTAGTGGGGAGAAGCAGTGGTTTCTGCCTCCATTAGGAGTCTTTATGCAGAGGTTAGATGACTATTCGATGAGTATACTGTAGAGCAGATTCCTGTATTAGCTGCTCAGAAAGTGAGGCATTGCCTGTCAATTGGGGAATAGCTGGACAAGTTGTGATATATGATTGTGATGGAATATGATTGTGCCGTAAGAAAGGATGAAGCAGATAGTTTCAGAAAAACCTGGGAAGCCTTATATGAACTGAGCAGCTGGGTTGGGATTTAGTTGGTGCCTTCTACTCCTGAGCATCTGCTTCTGTGCTGGAACTTGAGCTTAATGAGAACAGATAATGACTTGGACTTCTTGGACTTCGTGGTGTCTTCCCTGAGTGGAGATGGGTGTCGGGAAGATGGCAGCAAGCAGAAATGGTGCTCAGTTGTCTCGGCAGAGTAACCGGATCCTAAAAGATTGTCCTGAGAACAGTCGTATCTATTTATAGGATGATGCTGTCGATCACACTTGGCAGTATTGGTGAACTGATCACAAGCTACATTAGCCTCTTGGCTCAGAATTGGAGGGCTCTAGATTGGAAGTACAACGAAGTTGATGAAACACAAATATTTGTCTAAAGTCAGTTCCTGGCTCTGTCACTGGCCCAGAGTTTATGTTTGGGTGAGTTACTTAGTTTTTCATTACCTTGTCTGTAACAAGAAGAGGATTGTTTGAGGTTAATTAGTGTTTTTCTCAAAGAATGATTGTGAACTTAAGCTTCTCAAGTGGTGGAGAAAGGACTATTGCAGTCAGAGGGTATGAGTAAATGTGTGACCAGTATTGAAAAGAGTGGCCAAGGTTGCCAAGGGAATCAGGGTGCAGTGAAAGCTAGAAAATGGAGGGGAGAAAGAAACAGAATTCAGATGAAAGTGAGTTTGTCCATCATGGAGAGGGCATTTCAGAGAGCACAGTGGAAAGGGTTGGGAGATCTGGAGTAAGACATTGGGGGAGAGGGTTAAGGAGGATGAAAATAAGGAGGTTGGCCATTGGGCATGGAGAATGGAGCTCAGATCCCTGGGATAGGGAGAGTATGAGGGAGAACAGGGAAGGCTCCTGGTACAATGCAAACACACCTGGGATGTTAAGGGGCAATCCTATGGTGCATTATCAGCCATTGACACCAGTCTAGACCTAAGAGCTATCACTCTGGAAAGCAAAAGTCTGTGTTCTGAGGAAAGGCAGCTCTGGATAGGGAAATTTCTAGCTCTAGAGTGGTGTTAAGGGCACTAGACTTGAAGGCAGAAGACTTAGGTTTGAATCCAAGTTGTTTTAATCTATTTGGACCCCAGTTTCCTCATCTATAAAATGAGGGATTTAGAGTAGATGCTGCCTTCCATGTTTAAATCCTATGATCTCTTGCTGATTCCCTTTCCCTAATCTACCCAACCCCCACCCCATCAACTGAATTCCCAGGCTGCTCCCCTAACAGTGCCACTGAGTCAGCCTCGGGACTTGGGAAAAGGACAAGGAAGTGACTCTCATTGTTTTCTCTCATCTCTCCTGTTCTTAGGTCCTGAATCTACACCCTCCCTTCCCCTCATAGCCTGTATTATGTTGTCATTCAATCATTTTCCGATTGTGTCTGACTCTTCACGACCCCATTTGGGGTTTCCTTGGCAAAGATACTGGAGTGGTTTACCCTTTCTTTCTCCAACTCATTTGACAGATAAGAAAATGGAAGCAAAGAAGGTTAAATGATTTGCCCAAGTTCACATAGCTAGTAAGCATCTGAGGTCAGATTTAAACTCAGGTCTTTCTGATTTCTAGCATTCTATCCACTGCGCCACCTTGTTGTTCCCGTATCCTGTATTAGCTGGTCAGAAAGTGAGACACTGCCTGTCAATTGGGGAATAGCTGGACAAGTTGTGATATATGACTGTGATTGAATATGATTGCGCTATAAGAAATGACGGAGTGGATGGTTTCAGATAAACCTGGGAAGATTTATATGAACTGGGGGCAGAGCCAAGATGGTGGAGTAAAAGCAGTGACTTGCTTGAGCTCTCCCCCAAACCCCTCCAAATATCTGTAAAAAAAAAAAATACTTATATGAACTGATGCAGAGTGAAGTGAGCAGAACCAGGAGAATACTGTACACAGTAACAGCTATATTGTAATGATGATCAGCTGTGAATCAGCTACTCTGATCAATACAATGATCCAAGACAATCCCAAAGGACCCATGACGAAAACTGCTATCACCTCCAAAGAGAACTGGTGAACTTTGAGTGAACATTGAAACATATTTTTTTCACTTTCTTTATTTTTCCTACTTTTCCTCCCTGCAACATGATTAACACGGAAATACGCTTTGCATGATTTCATATATATAATTTATTATGTATAATATATATTTCTTGCCTTCTCAGAGGATGGGGGAGGGGTAGAAGAAAGGAGAGAATTCCAAATTGAAAATAATTTTTTAAATAGTGACAGTACTAATGTTTTGCCATATTAATCTCTGGCTACTTCCCAGATGCTTCCTTTTTAGGCAAACTTTTCTCCTTGGTTCTCCTCACCTCTGATCCCAGCCCCAGATAGTCAGTGTCCTACTATGCCCTCTGGCTACCCACAGTCACCCACAATAGTAACTAATGGCAGAGGAGTATGTTGTAGAGAAAATCAAATCCAAAGAAACTCTAATCCAAAGAAATTACTTTCTAATGGTGGAATGGCATACCATGGCCAATGAACAGTAGTGATAGTGAATTTTTTTTTTGTCAGGGAATCCTTTCTTAGTCTCTCAAATTATAAACTGTTTATTCCTTAAGAGGTCTGCCTTCATTGTCTGGTTTTAGCCAGCCTTTCCAGACTCATCTCATCCCTTCACTCACTCTACTGGGGTTCATGAATTTTTTTTAAATTTATACTTTTGCAACTGTATTACAATATAATAGGTTCTCTTAGTAATCCTAAGTATTCTATTTTATGTCTTTGAGAACATGATTCTGAGAAGTCCCTAGGCTTCACCAATAGGACATAAAAAATCTTAAGAATCCTTCACCAAGAGGAAATGACTGATCAGAACATTCTTATTTTTAAGTTTTTTTTAGAACATTCTTATTTTTAACATGTGTGTTCACAGATTAAAGCAAATATGAGACAAGATTTAACCAATTGAACCTACATATTGGTATTAACTAGTGGAAAAATGGATTATTGATGTCTCATTTCAAAGTCTGCATAGTAATAAAAATTGCTGAAATTGTGTGTGTGTGTGTGTGTGTGTGTGTGTGTGTGTGTGTGTGTGTGTGTGTGTGTGTAATCCTTGTCCTGGAGGCTATTTTACAGATAAGGAAATTAAGACCAGACAAATTAAGGGATTTCCCAGGGTCACACAGTAAGCAGAAGGAAGAGTATGAACCCAAATCCATGGTGCTTTCCAACATATCATCCTGTCCTATCCTCTGGTACCAACCCCAGCACACCCATGGTAGCTGCCTTGTTTCTTTTCCTTACTAAATTTAAACTCAGGCTCTTTTTCCTTTGGAATATTCCTCTGTGTCATAAAGCAAGTCATTTACCTCGGGGTTATCAGACTGGTATGGACCTATTTCAGAAAGTTCTTCCTCTCAAAAGTTTTTTTCTTTTACCTATTTATCTTTTTGCCCAATTTGTTTTTTACCTATTTTTTCTTTTACCTATTTCCTGGCCTTTCTCTAGGTAACTATTCAACTGTAGGTAAAATCAGTTTCATGGCACAGACCTCTCCGCTCCCACACACACCCACGATCACACACTTAAGTGGTCACCTACTCTGTTTCACATCAGCAGAGGCAGGGATTCAGGGATTTGGAATTTCAGGTTCCTTTGGCCCAGTCCTGTTACCCTGAGACTCTGGCCTGTCCAAAGGGCTTGTTGTCACTTTCAGCTGGTGAAGCATTATCAATATCCAGGCTGATCCTATGCTTTCCTGGCCAAAGGGCATCCTTGATCATTTTCACCTGGCATAAAAATGATATCGTTGTAATACTCAGTCTACTCCCCACAGAGAAAGACAAGCTCAGGGCAAGAGGGAGGTGATTTGGCAAGTTCTGAGTCTCCGGCTGGTCTCTACAGGGGAACACTACAGCATGATGTGGAACTGGTGGTTTTGGTTATGTTTGGCACTCTGCACCGCAGACCAATATAGGGATGAAGCAGTAAGAATCATGAATGAGACGCCCTTAATCGATGGGTAAGTAGCTCTGCGAGAGGGCACCCCCTTCCCCTCATCCCCTCCAGCAATCAGAGAGTGGTGGCTGGCACAGGGACAAAGTGTCTTAAGTAAATACAAGAGATGCAGCTTGGCTCTAAAAGAGTGGAGAGATATGGGATGCTAGTTTGGGGGGATGGCAGAGTCAAGCACTGTTGTTGTTTAAGGGATGGTTCAGACTAGGTTCCACCAGTAGGCAGAGGGAAAGGAGCCCGTATATAAGAATCAGTGGAAGATTAAGTAGAATAATCCAAACACTGAGAGAGTCTGGATTCCCCTCCAGTCCCAGAGTCCCCTTTGCCCGATGCTACTCCCCATCTAGACTTCTCTTTCTCCGACTTTAAATGGGACCAGAAGAGTCTCCAAGACTATCCCACCTTAGCATATGAAGCCCCAGTCAAGTTGCTCAATTTCTGGTTCACTCAATAAGGATTCGTGAAGCACCTACTGTGTGTCAGATACTGCTCTAGGTACTGAGGATAGTCCTTGCCCTTTTGGGGGTTTACTGGAGTACAGAAGATGTACACAGAGTAGTAAATACAAGGGAATTTGAAGGGGCTGAGAGTCCTAACCACTGGGGGTGTGGGCAAATAATGGAGAGATTTTTTGTAGCAGGAGGTAGTAGTCCCTGAGCTAAGCTGGAAGAAATGAGGAGATTGCAAGAGGCTAAGGTGAAGAGTTGGAAATGCATTCCAGGCGTGAGGGGCTAGCAAATTCCGAGGCAGGGAGACAAAAGGTGGAATGCCTCATTTGGGGAAGAGCTACTGCCCAGTTTGATTGGAATGGAGAGTGGTGAATCATGCTAGGGAGGATAATTATTAATAGGAAGAGTAATAACTGACAGACATTAACATTGTGCTTTAAAGTTTACAAAGAGTTTTGCCTTCTCTTGTCTGGTTTTAGAGTCAGGAGACCTGGGTTTAAAGTCCCCTCTGATGCTGCTTAATACTATTAATAATAATGGTTAGCATTTATGTGGCATTGCAAGGAGTGAAAAGTGCTTTACAAATATCATCTCAAATCTCTGCTCCCTTCCCTCAGGAAAATTATTTTGACAGCTTCATGGAAAATAGATTAGAGAGGGGACAAACTTGAAACAGGAAGCCCAACCAGAAGGCTCTTGCAGTAGTCCAGGTGACAGGTAATGAAGAACTGTACCCAGGTAGGGACCTGGTAAAGAGAGAGAAGGGCCCAGTGGGAGAGATGCTGTGGAGATAGAATTGACAAGACTTGGAAAGTGTTTGTTTGTGAACAGCGTAAAAGAGCCACAGACGACCGAGAGTTTGTGGACCTAGGTGATTAGAAAGATAGTGGGTACCCTTGTCAGAAATAGGGAAGACTAGAGGAGAGATGGTTTTGAAGAAGCTAGTTCCATTTTGGACTTGTTGAGTCAAAGATGCCTTTGGAATATTCACTTGGGGAGATCCAAGAGGTCCTGCTAGAATAGAATTAGGAGAGGGAACAGAGCTAGAGAGAGAAGAGAAGGGAGCCTGGACAGAACCACTTAATTCACAAGAGACGGATGATAATATGGCAAGGAAGACTGCAGAGGAGTAGTCATTCGATAGGAGATGAACTAAAAGATAGGGGGCTTCATAAAGGAGAAGAGAAATTCTCCCCTAGGAAGAACATTCCCTGTGGCTGGTATGCGTTGACCACGTATGGCCACTGAGGGCCCTTCCAACTCTCAAATTCTGTGATTCTGTGAAAGTATTCCAGAGGAAGAAAAAGAGTATGAAAAGCCACAGACAGGTCAAGGTGAATGACAGTGAAGAAAAGGCCATCAGATACAGCAGTTGAGGCCATTGGTGACCTCAGAAAAAGCAGTTTTAATGGCATAGTAAGGTCTGAAGTCAGGTTGTAGGGACTTGAGAAGGGAACAGGAAGTGACCACACGTGGAGGGAGAAGGCTTTTTTCTAGAAACTTGGCTCTTAAAGAGGGAAGAGATATGGAATGCCAGTTTGGAGGGATGGCAGAGTCAAGCATTGTTGTTTAAGGGATGGTTCAGCCTATGTTCCATCTGCAGGCAGCGGGAAAGGAGCCAGTATACAAGAATCGGTGGAAGATTAAATAGAAAGGGAAATCAAGTCAAGAAACATTTATTAAGCACCTACTATGTGCCAGGCACCGAGCTAAGTGCTGGGATACAAAAAAACAGCCCAGGGAACTATTTCAATACATGTGGTTTCCTTTGAAATCATGTGCATTTTATTTTGTGACTTTAAAAACATTATTCTAAGAAGTTTCATCAGACTGTCAGAAGGGGTCCAATTAAAAAAGCATGGTTTACTCTAATGACAGAATTTCAGACACTGGAGAACAGATGGGAAGCAGAAGAGGTCTGAGACGGAAGAAAGGGGAGATGTATTGTTTGAGCCAAAGAACCTGAACTTCAATGAGTTGATGGCCAGCCCTAAAACTAGTTTGTGGGCAGCTGAGTGGCACAATGGATAGAGAGTGCCAGACCTGGAATCAGAAAAGCCTGAGTTCAAATCCAGCCTCACATACTCACTAGTGGTGCGGCTGTGGGCAAGTCACTGAACCCTGTTTGCCTCAGTTTCCCCACCTGTAAAATGAATTGAAGAAGGACATGGCAAACCACTCTAGTATCTTTGCCAAGAAAACCCCCCACGGGATCACAGTCAGAAATGACTCAACCACAAGAAAACCTGGTTTCCTTTCACAACTAGAACAAAGCCCTATTTCTTTGAATTTAAAAAAAATTATCATTTAAAAATGTTTTGTTGCTGACTTTTGGTTTTTGACATGTAGCCATTTCCCACTATCCACTGCCCCAACAAACCCTCTATTATATAAACAAAATCCACACATAAAGAAAAACAGGCAAAACAACTGACCCAAGGGCCACGTCTGTCAGTGGGTACAACATTCTCAGCCCTCTTCCTTTGGGAGAATCACCTGAAATCTAAAGGATCCTTTCTCCTGTCCTCTAGCTAAGTCATCACAAGTTCCCCCCATTCTTCCCTTCATTACAATTTCCTTTACTTTCTCCGGCAGAGTCACCTCCATGCTCTTCCACCCCTTCCCAAATCCTGCCGTATGATCAATTCCAGTAATTTCAGGGGTGGCTTTTGGGATTTCTCACCTGTTCCATGACAGGACCTCCCGGGTGCTGGAGTTCTGAGCTAGAGGCCACCGGCAGTCAGAGGCCCCACCTGCTGCCCACACTTTGAAGAGTCCTCCAGGTTAGGATTCCCTGACTCCACCACATTCTGACTGAGTTCTGTGCTCTTGTACTCTTCTCTTGTGCTTCACTCTCCTGGACAAAACTCGTACAATGAATGACCATGAATGGTCTATCCAGAAAAGGGGAGCATGACTATTACTGAGGCTGACTCCACATCTTTTCCAAGCACTTGGAGAAGGCTGTCATTTCTTCTGCTCTAAACAGGGACCACCCCTTCTGCTCACCACTGGCCCTCTATCAGAGCTGTGAATTCAAATTCAACATTTATTAAACCACTCACTATAGAACAGGCACCGTACTAGGCACTGGAGATACAAAGATGAAAAATGATAGTCTCTGCTCTCCAGAAGGCCACATTCCACTGTGGGCATGATGTGTAACAACAGATAAGCACATTGCAAGGTAGGGTCTGACAGGGACAAAGGGTCTAGACCAAGTGCTCTAAGGACATTTTAAGAGGGAGAAGGGGGTGAGGAGAAGAGGATCAGGAAAGCATCATGGCAGAGTCAGTTCAGGAGGTGAATCTTAAAAGTGAACAAGGAATCTGAGAGGTGGAGTTGAAGGAGAGCATTTGAAGCATGGAGAGTGGCTTGTCCAACTATAGGTGTGAGAGGTAGCATATCAAGTAGTCTGGTCTGTCTTAAGTGTATAGTGTGTAAATTGTGCTAAGGTGAAAAAAAGGCTATAAAGGGAGGTGAGGACCAGATTGGGGAGGGCCTTAAAGTTAGGCTGAGGAGTCAATAGATGGATGTGTGGAATGGGGGGGGAGGGTGAGGGGGGGAAGTGAAGGATCAAACAAGACCTTGAAATTTTAAGTCTAGGTGACTAGGAGAATAGGAATGTCATTCTGAAAAAATAGAGAGAGGTCTGAAGGAGGTGAGGGTTTAGGGAAAGACCTAAAGACTTCCACCAGAAGCATGAGTTTGAGATGCCTATTGAACGGGCATCCAGGAGGTAGTTGTGGATATAGGCTTGGAGTTCAGGAAAATGATCAAGACTGAACACAGAGATCCGGACACCTTCTGAATGAATCAGATTACCAAGGGAGAAAGTGTTAAGGGGGGAAGGGAAAAAAACTACGGGATAAAGCTTCAGGAAATACTCCTCCTTTAGCGGCAGGTAGGAAGGCAAGGCAAGGTAAAGCAACAAGCATTTTAAAAGTACCTCCCATGTGCCCCGCACTGCACTAAACACTGGGAATACAAATACACAAGCGAAAATATAGCCCCTGTCCTCAAGGAGCTTACATTCCGATGGAAGAAGACAGCATTCCAAAGAGAGCTGGCAGAATGGATGGGGCAGGTACCCGTGAGGGTACGTGGTGGCAAAGTCTTGAGAGTCAGAAGCAGAGCCAGGAGGAGAATGAAGGTTGTCTTCAATGCATCTACTCCTCCAGGGACCTAGCGCCCCTGTGTTGTCATCTAGCTACCCCAAATCCTGGCATCTTGTCTCCCTCCAAGCCTCTTGTCCCCAGCCCCACCTTCTCCCACTACTCCCCTCCCCATTAACCCTGACCCAATCAAGACCTCCCTGAACTGTGACTCTTTTCCTTGGAGTTATTTGAATATACAAGCATTACCACAGAAGGCTCTTGCCCCTTTTAGAGACATAAGCCCAGCTGAAAGCCCCTTCCCCAGTTCCAGTTACTAGGGAGGGTTTGAGGGAGACGAAGCGGCAATCTGGAAATTCTGTAGCATCCAACGGTCCTGGGAGGCATCAGTGGACATTTGGAGTCTGCTGCCTGGGACTTCTCCTCGAGTTAAGTCGGCAGCTCCTAACATTCTCGTGCCCTGTCACTGGCTGAGACATCAGTCAGTCAGTCAGTAAGGACAATTGGTTTTGAACAAAATGAGTAGAAAGGGGAGGAGAGGTAGCTTCAGCCTACGTCTATGTATTCCAGCCTCAGGGGCCCCATCAGTATAAAACTCTTACAAGCAAACTAATGAGACTTCATATGTTAATGGGTGAAAATGACTCGCCCCTCCCGTTCCATTATAGAGCTAGAGAGAGTACACAGACTGTTGAGAGGCTGAGGAGACATTCTTGGGCTACTACCATATTTCAAATCCATGGGGCAGGAGACGCTCCTTTGGATTAGGGTAGAAAGGGACCTGAAGTTCTGGATGCTGCTCTGGGGCCTACTAAGGTCTAGGCCAGGGGTGGGGAACCTGCAACCTCAGGGCCACATGCGGCCCTCTAGGTCCTCAAGTGCAGCCCTTTGACAGAATGTGTGAAGTTTGGATTCAGTCAAAGGGCCACACTCGAGGACCTCGAGGGCCACGTGTGGCCTTGAGGCCGCAGGTTCTCCACCCCTGGTCTAGGCTAAGAGGTGAAGGGGTTGTCTGAAGGCTGGGGAATGACCTCTCCTCGTCCAGACAGTGACTGGGATGATAAAGAGCCTCATGTCATATGATATTAATAAGTTAGCATTTGCATAGCCCTCTAGAGGTTTCAAAGCATTGCCTGTTATCTCATTTGATAACAACCACCAGGGCAGGTAGGTGTTATGATTATCTCCATCTTTACAGTGGGGGGAAACTGAGGCAGAGAGAAATTAAGGTACTTGCTGAAGGCAAGTATCTGAGGTCAGGCTTCTTCCTGACTCAAAGCTCAGCGCTCTTAACACCCCTGTTCCACCTCCATGCCTCACGAATGAAACTCAGTTGAAGAAACTAGGCATGTTTATCCTGGAGAAGAAAAGATCCAGGGGCCACATGCTAATTGCCTTTAAGGATTTAGAGGGATGCTCTGTGCAAGACGGATTCACCTCGTTCTGCTTCATCTCAGAGTATGATATAACCAGGAGCAATGGGAGAAAGGGTGAGGTGGGGTAGGGGGCTCTCTTTCAGGACGTGGGTTGAACTGGGCAAGGGAGGGTCTCTGAGGTCCCTTCTAACTCTGACCTCTCATGATGCTACTTTGCCTTCTCCTGGCACCTTCTTCTGCCCCTCCAGTCACAATGATCTACCATGGCAGATACTGAAGAAGTTCAATGGCCAGCTGCAGCTGTCAGAAGCAAACCTGTACTACCTGGAGGGCACGCACACCAATATTCCGAAGCTGAAGACGGGCTTTGTGGGCGGCCAGGTGAGGGGAGGAGGGTCCAGAGGGTTGGGCATGCAGGCCCTGTGGGAAACGCAGGTGGGATGCCACAGACAGGCATATTGATAGGGGCTGTTGCCACACAGCAGTCACCAGCTTTCAAAGGAGCAGCTCTGGCTCACTGTCCCCTAGGGAGAAATTCCCCAGCCGTCCATTCTAGTCTAGCCTGTGCCAGCTGCTTGCACTCTGCCCTGGGCAACCCTGGGCTTAGTTGGACTCTCAGTGTTCTGGAGTAGCCTCCAGCTCCCCTCCTTTTAATGTCTGCTGGGATCCAGGTGCCAGAGGTCCTTGAGATGCTCTCCACTGCGAGGCCCCCTCCCCTCCCCCATGTTCTGGCCCCTACTTGAACCTCCTCCTTGCTTATATCCCTTCATCCATCCCCTCAGGCTTCTGTTTTCTGAGACAGAGAGGTAAGGACTTTAATCAGAAAAATAATCTTTTCTAATGTGTTGTTCCACCCTGGCATCATATAGTCTTATTAACTCAATCGTAATCTTTGTGACTTCAGAAGTCCTTAAGGAACAAATCACACTGTGAGCATTTCAGCCTCACTGCTAATCCCCCTGCCTGGGTGGGGAAAGGCTTGAGGGATTCAAGAGCTCATTCAGGGTCTTCTCCGTCTCTAGTGACCATACCACCTTACAGGTAAAGACAGCCCTGGTTCATAGGCTCATCTAGTCCATTTCCCTTATTTTACAGATGAGGAGACTGAGGCACTTACCTGTAATCACATAAGTAGTGTGGCAGAGGTGCTAACTAGGAAGGAGAATGAATGCCCCTATACCTTAACCAGTCCTAGATTAGAACAGATCCCTGCAGAGACCTCTATTGATTCAGACTCACTGTCCCCAAATCCAGTGAGAACCTGGCTGGTGCAGTAGCCCCTAGCCTTCCTGAGATCAGCTTCCCCCAGAGCTCCACAGTGGCCTCTCAGACCAAATCAGGGGTGCCTCTGGTGTCACCTGACAGCTCCCCAAAACCTTCCCTCCCTTGGCTTGCAGTTCTGGTCTGCTTATGTGCCCTGTGATACCCAGAACAAAGATGCAGTGAAGAGAACCCTGGAGCAGATCGACCTAATTCACAGAATGTGCCAGACATACCCCGAGACTTTCCTGTGTGCCAGCAGCCCTGCAGGTGAGTTCTGCCACCACTGCCATCCCCCTAGGGTTAAGTCAGCTCTGCCCATTTATTCCCACCACTCCCTCATCACGCTCAAGGACCACCCTTCCACTCCCATGTGTACATATAGACATTTTCTTAGACACATCAGTAAGCTGATAAACATATCCAGATATTCAAAAATTGAGGGGAGGGGGTGGAGGAGATCCCATCTAGTCCTCTTTAAGTCACCTCATCTAACCACAAGGCCACTTGGAATCATCCAGGGTGGCCAGTGAAGGCTTCCCTTCAGTAGACCTTAAATGCCAAGGTCTTTCCATTCCAGATATAAGGCTGGCCTTTCAGCAGAAGAAGGTGGCCAGCCTGATTGGTGTGGAGGGTGGCCACTCCATTGACAGCAGTCTGGGTGTCCTCCGGGCAATGTACTACTTGGGTGTGCGCTATATGACCCTCACCCACAACTGTAACACGCCCTGGTAAGAACTATGGCCTAGACCCTACTGATTCTAGGGGAGGATGTTCTGATCCTAATTCCTTGCCATTCATTTTTAAATTTTTTTCAATTAACAAGAATTTGTTTTCTTTCCCTCCTATATCTTCCTCCTGAATGACTGAACAAAACAAAAATAAGATCCTCATAACAAACATGCCTAGTTACCTTTGCCAGTCATTCTCAGGCCTAAGATGGCTCTAACCACAGAATCTCTTAGACTGGGGAATGCAGGGGGGTGGGGGTGGGGGGGTGTCTGCATGCCATTCTGAGGTGGGATAGAATCCCTTGCTTCATCTGTCTTGGCCAGAGGCCTGCACATCTTCCCATGATGCCTTGGCTCAGACTCCTTCCTGGCTGGGCTTTGCGGAGGGACTGATCTCGGAAGCAAAAGTTGAGCTGAGGAATTCTAGAGAGCCACTCTACAAGCTCTGGGACCCTCTGGCCTCACGTTCTCACCTGATTAAAGCCCCAGTTCTTTCACTGCCTTCTTGTGTGTGACCCTGGACAAAGCATTCGGCTAGTACCTCAGTTTCCTTGATGGTTAAATAAGAACCAAGTATGACTACCCATGCCCTGAGGAAGGTGAAGGGGTCAACCTAGGCCTTCTCTTACTTTTTTTTTTCCCCACTGTCATAGGGCTGACAACTGGCAGGTGGATACAGGAAATGACAAAGCCCAGAGCCACGGCCTGTCAGAATTTGGAGAGGTAAGCAAAGATGGGTATGGGGAAGAGATCCAAGGGCAGGCCCTGTTCACTTGGGAGGCGGACTGGCTTGGAACCTGAGGGACCTAGGGCTGTTCCCTGAGTCTGAGGCACCAGGGCAGACACAGGGCCTCCTCTCCCTTCTGCAGGAGGTGGTGAAAGAAATGAACCGCTTGGGTGTGATGATCGATCTGGCCCATGTGTCAGTGGCCACCATGGAGGCCGTGCTGTCTGTGTCCCAAGCTCCCGTGATTTTCAGCCACTCCTCTGCCTATCAGCTATGTCCCCATAGACGGAATGTACCAGATCATATCCTCCAGCTGGTGGTAAGATGTGGGAAAGGGCTCCGGGGGTGAGCAGTGGATGAGTGGAGTCCACCAGGATATATCCTCACCTGCACTCCAGTCATCACATGCTTCTCTATGGCCAGCTCAGCTCCTTTATAGGCAGCTAGGAGGCAAAGTGGGTTAGACAGCTGGACCCAGGGTTAAGAAGATGCATTCAAATCCCTCCTCAGACACTGAGAAGCTGACTCTGGGCAAGCCACTTACCCTTTCTCATCTGTAAAACGGGGATAAATAAATAAGATCTACCTCACAAAGCTATTTCGGGGATCCAGTGAGATAACATACATAGTCCTTTGTATACCTTTCAAGTGTGACATACTATAAATGCTAGGAATTTCAGAAAACCCACCATCAGCTCAGCCACCCTAAATTCCCTGCTCCAGGTCTACAGTTAAGAACCAATATCCTCCATCCACTTTTCACTAGGGTCACTACCACTTCACATTTCAGAAGGCATTCATACACACTCTATTTCTTGATTCTCCCAACAGCTTTGGAAGGTTGAATACTTACCCTAAGACCAGATAAACAAATAGACTCATAGTGGTTGAAAGTATTCACCTAAGGTTACCTTTAGGGGAGCCAGGATGCCTCTCCTTGGTCAGTCTTTGGTGAGGTTTAAGGGGACAAGGGATGAGAAGGCAGCTTCAGAATACTCTAAAAGCCTAGAGTACTTCTGATGGAAGGCTGCTTTGGGAACTCTCTCTCTGACACATACATAGAATCCCCTCTTTCTAAATAGAACAAGACCAGAAGTCTGGTGATGGTGAATTTCTACAATCAGTATGTTTCCTGCCAAAAAGAAGCTAATCTGTCTCAAGTAGCAGGTAAGTGTGGCTAAAGCCACTAAAGACGGGAGAAATGGCAGAACAGGCCCCAGGTCCCAATGACCTACTCCTGACTCTCCCTGAACAGATCACCTGGATTATATCAAGAACACTGCTGGACCAGAAGCTGTGGGATTCGGTGGGGATTACGATGGTGTTGACGAGTAAGGAGAACAGGAAAGCTGTCTTGACCCCACAGAAAATGGCATTTGAGAAAAGGCCAAATGACCAAGGCTTGCAGTAGCATGGGCCTTTACTTCACCAGAAAGATACATCTCCTCCCACCTTTTCTTGCCTGGCCTCTATCAATCTCAATTTCACTGTCCTTCCCCATTGTGACCTCCTTTCTATCCAAAGGTAGGCCCTGGCTTTATGGCAGAAAAGTCATTTCTTTCCTTGGAAGAATCTCTGTCTGGATTCAGGAAACTCACCTGGTTAAGGCAGGGTGCTAATGAGACTAAAGTCACAGGTGTTCAACCCCTGCGGCCAACCATTTGGCAATCTTCCTCCAAACAAAGTTCACACAGATATATATGCCTGATTATCAGGAAACTGGGAGAGATTGGGTACATGGCTAAGTAAACCTGTCTGCTTTCCTGGAAACACAACTTAAAGTAGGACCCTCCTAAAGCTTGGGGCCTGAATAATCTTTGTATGTCAGAGTGGCAGAGATATGTTTCAAAGGGAAGGCCATTGCCTGCAGGGTGGTGATAGCATGCCCTGGGACTCATTCCCACTTTTACTCCCCCCCTTCCCCCTGCAGAACTCCAAGAGTTCTCAGCAAAATCATCATTTCTCCTCCCAGTGTTCCCACAGGGCTACAGGATGTCTCTGGTTACCCAGACCTGATAGCTGAACTTCTCAGGAGGAACTGGACTGAAACAGAAGTGAAAAATGCCTTGGCCTATAACCTGTTAAGGGTCTTTGACGAGGTGGAGCAGGTAAGATGGGAACAGATAAGATGGGGGGGCCAGCCTTTGGGCAAGAATGTTGGATTCCCTTTTCCCCACCACCCTTCCACATCATTCTACTTTTTCTCCAGGCAAGCAGCCATAGCGTCCTCCCTAATGAGAACTTCATCGAATTTAGCGAGCTGCAAGATACTTGCAGGACTTCCTATGGCTATCAGGACTATAGCCAACAGGACCACAGCCACCAGCACCGGCCTGGAGTCCTCCCTGTAGTACTCACTCTTCCTCTCCTTTACCTGTGGCAGCCATGATCCTGTGCAGCCCGTTGCCACCCCTCAATTCACAGCCTGTCAGTGGGAGCCAAGATAACTGCAGGGCTGGATCTAACCCAAAGCCTCAAAGAGGGGCCAGACCCACCTCCAAACCAAGCTCCTCCTGATATGTATGCTCTCTGAAAGGAGGATGGTCCCATTTGTGATTCTGGCATAGACCTGCTCCTTCCTCAGATACTTCAGATATAGCAAAGGGAAGAATCTAACCTATGCACATCTGGTGAATTTGGTCCAGGCCTAGAAACACACACGCACACTCACACACACACACACACACACACGAGATGGGCAAAAAGAAAATTCAATAAAAGTTGCAGTTATTGCTATTTAAAGAATATACCTCTCTTCATACCACTACCATTGCTAAACTGCAGGAAGAGGCATTGTCTGTCTCCACAAAGCAACACTAGACCCAAGGTCAGGAGACATAGGCAACAGCTTTGCTTTCATCTGACCAGGTGGCCCCAACCAAGTCAGTTCATCTCCCCTAGTAATCATAATAATAATCCCCTAGAAAATGTAGCTCAAACCTCAGCCTCCCCAAAATGACATAAAGATGTATGCTGCTATGTAAACAACTCTGCAATTTCCAGAGTCTTTTTATAACCCCCCCCCCCAGATTAGAAATCAGGTGGTCTAGGTCCAAAACCCAGGTGCCATTCATCTACTCTGACTTGGGCAAGCCATTAAATCTCAGTATCATTTTCCTTCTCTCTCATGGGAATAATGCCTGTCCTACCAAACAGTTGTAAGGATCAAGTATGATTTAAAAAAAAAGGGAAGGGACTTCAAAAATTATAAAGTAGTACTATACAACTATAAGGGTTTGTCAGGGATAAGGGGGATATTACTATAATCTTGTGCTATCAAAAGAATCCTTTTCAGTCTCAAACCAACCTCTAGGCAATAACTGGCTGCCAAATGCTCTGTATTACTTTGTCCCTGAAAAACTTTGCTCATTAGGCTTTGACAATCACCTTTCTAGGCTGGGAAATGGCACATGGTTTCAAGCCCTCAACTGCCACTAAACCAGGGGTATGACTTTGGACAGACTACTTTCCCTCTTTCACTTATCTGTAAGATGAGGAGGCTGGTCTCTCAGACCTCTTCTAGCACTAACATTTTAGGCTTCTAGGATGCTCCCATGAGGGAAGCCAAGGGAAGGATGTGCACAAACCCATGTGAAAGTTGGCTGTAAGACCACCCTCAAACTGGATGCACAAGTTGATACACTCAGGCAGGAGAGGAAGCCATAGATACAAAGCCAGTAAAGGACTTTTCAAGAACCTCACTCTGGATTGGTAGAGCGATAGGAACAACTAACCTCTGGATCCCAGGGTCTTCTAGTTCCTCATCCCCCATCAACCTGCATATCAGTTCCACTGCTAGAACAGGTAATTCTTGACATAAAGGCACATGATAAGCAACAGGCCACCCAAGAAGAGAAGGGCATTTAATATAGGGTGGCAGTTGTTATCAACTGCCTGCACTACAAGCAAGGGGTTAAATCTTTAGCTTCCCATTTTAGGTTGGCTCCAATGTAGCAACAGAAAGTTTGTATGCATTATGAGGCCAATTAAAGGCTATGAGGCTTCAGGAAAAAGACATCAGGAGGCCCTGCATCCTCTTTCAAATCCTGGCGTGGCCTCACTCTGCAGGTCAGAGCCATCTGATATCTCAAAGTTTCCTTTCTCAGGGGCACGAAGTTGGCACTTGGGTCCTCGAGCAGCCTGATCCTCATGGGCTGTTGGCTCCAGCTTCCTAGAATGTATTTCAGCACCTCCTGTAGCTTTAGACTAATCGATCTACATTTTAGAATTGAGGAATTGTCAGTATCCTGGATCCCTCCTCCTTAAACATTAACCTCTTCTCTAGGGAAGTACATCCCAGGTTATCTGTTGACCAGACAGCCAAGGCCATTGTTAAAAGGGCAGAGCAACGTGGTTTCCACCCTGTTTTTTCGCACAAATTTGTCCACGGGCTTTCATTCCACCTGGCTTGGGATGGCCTGGGTCGCTTTCTAAACACCAGGAAGACTTGCTTTGTGGGGAAATAGCACCCCCTTGTGGAATAAAAGGTAACTTCATTAGACTTTTGTCTGAAAGGCTAGATGTTTGCAAATTCTCCTGGGCTAGAAAGAACCTTCAGGGGTGGTTACAGCTAGATAGTCATCAGGAGAATTGCACTTGTTTTTAAAGACCATTAAAGGGTCTGCCAACCTCCAGGGCCTACAGATGATTTCAGTGGAATCTGGAAGTGCTTCCTTATGTCTGTTTGGGCTCCCTCTTGCTCTTACCCACTCACACAGCTAATCCAGCCGACTCATTTTGCAGAGAACTGAGGCCCAGAATTGAAGTCACTTGCCCAAGGTGGCAGGTAATAATTGTAATAAGAGTCTTTGTCAGGACATACAAATCCATGTTCTTTAACTCTAACTCCAATGCTCTTTCCATTGCACAACACTGCCCCATTCTCAGGGAATAGGGAAAACTAACCATCTCCATACCTTAATACAGACAGACCACCACCTACGCAAAAGAGGAAGGGAAATGCTACTTGGGTGAAGAGTCTGGAAAATTCCTATGCTCTGAATATAAGCGGTAAGAATAGGGGACACTAGGAAGGGAAGATGAGGAGCCCTTGGTTATTCACCAATATCATTACCATAACATGGGAAGTGCCCAAACATTTCCCACCCATTGTTCAGCACTTCTGAGAAGTGCTACCATGAAAGCATCATGGCAGAGTAGGCAGAGTACTTGCCCAGTGGTCAGGTTACCTGGAGTCAAAACTCTACCACTGAATTTGGAATCAATATCTAACTTGCTAAATACTTGCTTGACCCTGGACAAACTCAATCAACCTTCCTGGGCTTCAGCCCCCCTTCTGTAAAATGAGGTTGGGTTAGATGGCCCCTATGGAGGCCCTTGTAACTTTAAATCTGTGATTCTCTGTCGCTTCTCCATGTTAAGTGAGGTAGAAGAAAATGCCATTTAAAGTCTTTCCATTGGAATATTCTCATTCTGCTCTTCTCCAAAATTCTCCTGCACCTGAAAAACTAAGGCCTCCAGCACAAGGGAATATTCCTAGAAGTGCTTAGATGGGAATGGCCCAGGTGAAGGCTTGGAGATTGTAACCCATGTTGATGAATGAGATCACAGATTCCCATGCCTATTCAAGATGGCAAATCTGTCAGCTTGCTACAATTAGCGAGGGTGGGGACAACTGGGCTGAAGCTTGATCCCTCCCCTGCATTCAGTAGCCTCTTGTTTCCCCAACCATGCACCTCTTTACCCAGGGCTCCCCAAGCCAACAAGATGAGTTTTCAGGGATAATAATTTGTTTACTTAAAATGACATTGTAGGAAATTAATAGTATTGATTGTTTTAAGGCAAATTAGCCTGTTCCTTTGATGAACATAAGAACACACAATATCCTCAGGTGCCAGTCTCATCAACTTGTTCAGTGGTGGCAAAGCCAGAAGGTCCCTGATTGTAAGGACCTAAAACAGGGTAGAGTTCAGCCACACTGTGGATTCCTCCATGCTTCTGACACTGCCCTTCCAGCAGTTACAATTCTCTCTTGGGATGCTTTATGTTACATTCTTGAGGGCTGTAGAGTCTGTGGAAAGTGTTTCCAAAAATAAGCATCAATACTGGATAGATCACTGAGCTTTTGATTCTCTTCATCCATGATCAAAGCCAATGGTGGGAAGAGCAGGTCACCACCACCTTAGGAAGCAAGCCTGAAGTCACGGCACCGCCCCCTGCTGCCCAAAAGAGAGAAGGATCCTGGGCCTCTCTCCCACTCCAGGATCTAACCCAACACCCATATTCCAAGCTTCAAAGGAAATCCTTAAAAGGGGCCTCTTCATGACACTGAATCCAGATGCTCCCAAGGCCACAAAGATCAAAGGTAAAAGACCAAAAGTAAAGATTTTCAAACATCTATACACAACTCATAAAAAAATATATACAGTTCCCTTACTATACAGCACGGACAATCTGGGACCTATCTACGGGCATCCTTGATGAAGACTACACTGGAGGGGAGAAAGCTGGCCATGTATAGGCACAAGGTGATTATCTCCAAGTACCAATCTTACTGGGTATGTGCATGCTGGGGGGGGGGGGAATGCTAAAAGGATTTAGCTCAAACTGCCTGCTCCCTCTACACTGACAAGAAACAAGAAAAAAAAAACCAAAAAACCCAAAACCCCTGAAGCTTCAAGAAAATGAATTAAGTTTCAGCAGATGGAAAACTACTTTGGGCTCCCACTTTTTTCTGCAGACCTGCAAAGAGCTATTTGGGGGAGAGGAGGAGGAGAGAACAATAAAATCAAGGGCACAATGACTAACCTTTTTTGCTTTTCTCCCAATGGTTCAGAGCTGCAGAGAGTCCCTAAAGTCTTACTATCACTGACAGTGGTGGATTAATGCCCAAGCCCACCTTCCCAAGCCCACTGTGTCCTAAGTCAAGCCCCAACAACACATGGGAGTAGATGGGGCTTGGAGGTACTACTTGGGGGGTGGGGGGGTGGAGGACAGGAATCATATCTGCAACAGAAGGAAGAAATAAACAAACTGGCACAAGCACCAGGAAGGCATTAGGAGCCTCCCATAGATAAATGGCAATGTTCTCCTGAGGCGCCCAGCCTGAGCCCTCAGCTCATGAGCTTTCCTTGATCTGTGGAGGAGGAACGGGGCCATGCAAACACAATGTCATTAGCTATCGATCCTATGGCAGAGATTCTAATTACGAATCAATAACATAACCCAATTTTTGGTAAAGTTGAAATGTAAACCACAAACCCTTCTCTCTGAGAAACTGAAAGCGGACTAAAAAAATGATTAAAAACCCCACTGCAGTATCTTCAGGGTCTATCGCAGAATTCCCTAGGCAAGCGTCACCCAGGCATAGTAAGGCTTATATACAGGCTGTCCCAAAAGTCCTACCGCCATTCTTAAACTGTAATTGCTTAAAGTTATTGGATTCCAATTGGGGCAGGAACCTGGCAAAACGGGCTGATCTAGGCCCGACAGCGTAAAAATGGCATGAGGATTTCTGGGATACCTTGTCTGTTAGGGATTGTCACTATTCATCTGCCTCCTCCAGCCTGCCCCCAAGAAGAGACTAGTCCCTAAGAGCACGGAAACCAAATGCTGAGCTAGCTGTTCACTGAAGGAATCCATCTGATGAAGCAGCTTAACAAGTAGCTGAGAGAACTCCAGCTCCTTGTACAAGTCTGGACTGGGCTAGAAGTCTACACCCGGGACACTGGGAGAGAGACAGAGAGTTCCTTCTTAAAAGGCCACTCACTGAGAGGGAAGGTTTCAAAGGGTCACTTGATCTCCACCCAGCCAGGCTCACCAACATGGCCATTCTCTGTCACTGGAGGGCCCACTCAGCAGCCAGCTCTTTATGTATACAGTCACTGCCCAAGAAGGACGGGGTCTCCTGTCACACCCCTACCTCTGCAGAGTCTCTGTCTGATTTAACCAACATCTGCAAAATGGAAATCTGCTGGGTGCATTCAGCCTTGGCCAAAGCTACCCCACTCACCCCCCTTCCCACAAGGGACTGGTTCAATGTTACATGGGAATAGGACCCAGACATGCAATATATTGGAAATGAAGCAATACCAAAGAGTCTAATCACCTAAAGCCCCTAAGATAACCAAGTAGTGCTGCATTAAAATCAAGTCAGTATTCCTTCAAGTGTACAGAAAAGAAAGATTCCTGTGGAGGCATCAGAATCCAGACAGTGCTGCCTGCCCTCCAGCAACAGCACAGCTGACAACACACGAGCCCGAGTGATGCAGTGGGGTCTTCCCTGCCAGTGCTCTGGGGGAGGTCCATTGGCATAGAAACAAGGTACAAATGCATGGTAGGAGCTCACTCCCCAAACAGAGATCCGCACCCAGAGAAAAGGGTAGATTCCAATGCCATCAGAGATGGGCAGGGCCAAGGGTAACAGCAGGAGTTGGCTGCTTCTCTTCAAAGAGGCTGTGGAAGGGTAGGAGGGATGGAGGACACAGCTTCCTTCCCGCTCCCTTCCAGGGCATGATCGGTGCAGGGAAAGCAGTCCATCAGGCCGAGGTACAGTTTAGTTCCGCAAGGCCGCCAACCTGGGGAAAAAGGAGGTGGTAACTCTGGCAGGATCAAAATCAGGAACTCCCACTCTCTTGGCGAAAAAGGAGGAGGCTCCTTTTTATATTTGGGTCCATCAAATAAAAATATCTTTGCAACCAACACCTGAATTTCACAGGTCCTAAGATCATACTAGGAAATACTGACCAGGGAACTGGACTGGAAGGAGGTAACTGAGTAAGCTAGGAGCAGAGACCTGGCAAAGCTGGCTTCTCTGAGGACTAGAAATACAATTAATGGCTTATACTTGGCCCCTGTCCCCCTCTGAAGTCAGCTGTTTGACATAAGCAGGAGGGTGCACAAAGGAATGGCAAAGTAGAGAAGAGGACACAGGGTAAAGAACGGAGGTCTGTCAGGGTTAATATTCAGCTGTCATTCGGTTCAATAAATTCAGGATCACAAAGCTCAACACAGTACAAAATAATATGCATGTGATGTATTTACATGTTAAGGAGTCTGCCTTCCCTTGTTCATGGAGCCTTCTCCAACGAGTCTAGCACACACTGCTCTCTGCCTTCTATGTGATTCACAAAGAGTTACCAAAGGATCTCATGATACTAAGCTTGTATTTCCCCCCGACTAGACTGCCTGGGTGGCAGGTGGACGGGGAAGCACATCTTACTTTTCATATATGCCTCTGTTGCCTAGCACAGGGTCAGTGCTCTGAAAATACTTGCTATTTCTGTTCTGTAGCTAATGGTTTTAAACTTCTATCGTCCTTCACCCAGATGGCTAAGATGACACGTGGTCTTGTAGAAGCCTTCTGAGCCTTCAGCAGCAAGATCTTACAAGTGGTCTCACCCAGCTTATCCACAGCCTAGGAGCTGAAACCTAGGAGCACTCCCCACTCTGGCAGTGTGATGAGTCAAGACCTGACAGCACAACTCCACTATTTATTGCCCAAATGACTAACTAAAATGATCCTACAATTCAGAGCACCACAACTAGGAATATCCTAGATCTATAGGGTTTGGGGAGGTGGCGGCAGAGGGCAAGGAAGAAATGTCTGCTGAGCAAACAGCTAGCATGGGGAAAATGTACCTTCGAGATAGCTGGTCTTCCTGGCTTCTAACAGAGCTCTCTCCTACGGCAGAGGCCCCTTCAGGAAGCTGACTAAGCTGGTCCATGACCTCCAGGCCATTTTCCTCGGCAATCTGCACGATAAGGCTATCCACCTGCTCCTGAGGAGTGGTCAGTGTGGTAGCTGAGCTCATCGAGTCCTCCATCACCTACAGAAGGAGGGAAAATCATCATTGTAGCAACAGGGAGGAAGAAGGCCGGCTGAGTACTTCTGTCACCACACTAGCCTCTGTCCCCTCTCCACATGGCTGCCTCCATCAACAAACACAGATAGACATACATATGAATGCAGGACAAGTTACCTACCGAAGTGTGAACGTCCAGATTCTGAACCTGCTGCTCAAATTTATCCATCACAGCAGACACCTTCTGCAGGTCCATGGTATTGAGAGCTTTGTCCAGGGCCTTAGTCACCTGAGCCATATTCTTAGTTACCTAAGATAGGAAAAGAGCAGGCACAGAGAAAGGAAAAGATTAAAACCAAGAAAATGTCATCATGGAATGGAAAACAATGGATGCTCTGAACCCGCTAGTGCAGTCCTCACTGAACCAAACTGGGCCTTTCCTATCTCCATACTGCTCTCTAATTCAGTTAAACGGGCTTTGGGACTAATATGTGTCCTGGGACCTGGGGGAGCTTGGACATCTCCCTTTGCCAGCAGAGGTCCAGCCTTAATAATTAGGACTGAAGGCATTAAAAATGTCAAGATTTCAATAAAGCAGAACATCCTGTGTGATTTTTATATCCCCCACACCACTCAGAACAATGCCTTGTACATAGATAGTAGTTGCTAAAGAAATTTTACATATGAACAAATTAATACAAAGAGGTCTAGAGCAAAAAAGATGATTTGATAATAGCTAACATTGCATCAACAGTAGCTAGAAAACAGCAATCATTTACCCCCTTCATGGTCACGGCAGTCTGGACCTTGGAGGCCACTGCATCCACACGAGAAGACATCCGAAGCCAGTTCAAACCCTCGTTCTTTTTACGGATCGCATTCTCAGCATAGACCCGAGCACACTCCACATTTTTCTGCTGAAGAGCCTGTAATGACAAATGGAAATGTTAACTGAAACCAACTGGTTGGATTTGTATTTTACAAAAACTTCTTCTAACTCCTTTCAATTTCCCAATCTTTATTTTTTTGTCTCAAATGTAATTTGCAAAAGATGCCCACCCTGTCACGGATTTACGCTATAAAAACTAGACTAACCTTAATGATGGTTTAAAAGATTTTAGACTTACGAAGATTTCACTGTGTAAATTTCTTTGGATACACGCCTTTTTTGGTTCATTCTGCACTTCTCATTCCCTGAGCCTCATCCTCATGTTAGTCCCAAACTTTCCAATATTACAAGATAGTGCCCCCACAAATAACTCACATTCATAATCCTCTGAGGTTTACCCAGATCCACAATAAATCCTAACCAAAAAGGGGGAGGGACAAGAAAAGGGCAAAGAGAAAGAAGGGGGGGGTGCTCATCAAATTTTCTAGCATAAGATCAAAGCATACTATTTGCTCTTTTTTTTCCTTCTGTTTCCTCTTTCTTGTGGTTCTTCCTATTGATTCTAATTCTTCTTTACAACATGACTAATGTGAAAATGTTTAATAGGAATGTATATGTAGAGCCTATATCAGATTGCACGCATCTTGGGGAGGGAGGTAGAGAAAATTTAAAACTCAAAAGCTTATGGAAGTGACTGTTGAAAACTAAAAATAAATTAAAAACAAACAATTTTTTAGCACAGTGCTTGTTTAAGTAAGCACTTAATAAAAGCAGTGGACAGACGGACAGACAGACAGACAGACAGGCAGGCAGGCAGCCAGTCAGACAGACCAACTGACAGGCAGGCAGGCAGATTGATAAGATTCTTAAAGCCCTGGCATGTCCAGCATGGGCATTACCACAGCTACGTGATCAGACAGAAGGTGTTTTTTTTCCTGTATAATCACTGGACTCAGCAAGGCTGCCAGTCACCCACCTTCTTGACTTTGGCTTGCTCAGCCTTCGAATCCTTCTCAGCCTTCTTGGCCAGCTTCTCCAACTGTTTTGCTGTGAACTGAAAAGAAATTTTAAAAAATGCATAAGCAGTAACTGGAGAAACAGTACGGCAGAAGGTTCTCTCAGGTTTCACTAAGCCTGCCTTCACTGCAGATTAAGGAGTCCCAAGAAGCAATCTCAGTCAGTCCTGACCTTAAGGCCCTTAGCCTTGTTAGCTGCCTGGGTACCCTTGTTACTTACCATTCCTCAGTCACCAGTGTGTGCTAGACATTTTAAAGGATGAGACCAGCTGCCTGCAGGTGTGTGATTCTTCCTTCTATGTAGTGCCAGTCAGGTTACCAGGAGCTGTGATGCTTACATTTTCTCTTTCTACCTATTAGTCTCATCTCCTTCCCAGCTAAGTCACAAGGGAGGTCTGAGGAGGTCTGACTAATGTCCTGTTCTCACCCAGAGGAACTTGCTGTGACAGAAGCTCTCAGAACATAAAGGTAAATACAGAACTTCTGTTAAATTTGGAAAATCAGAACAATAAATGGTTTTCTTAGATTTATTCTATCCATAAACTCTCAAACTTATTTTTATGTGAGGAAAATTTCCTCTATTGAGGAAGGAAAAAAATCATGAGAAACAATTCACACTCAAAACCTTTTTTTTTTTTTTGGTGAGGCAAAAAAAAAAAAAAGTCACACAGTGTTATGTGCCTGAGACTGAAGTACAGGTCCTCCTGACTCCAGGGCCAACTGTCTATGCACTATGCCACCTAGCTGCCCCCAAAACTTTCTAAAATTATTAAAAGGCTTTCTATTTATAAAAAATAAACAGAAGTGAGATTCTGTACAAGAGCTCTTCATCCTAGTATAGGAATGCATTGTGTTGTGGAAAGTGAAAAATGCCAAAGGAAGCTATGGTTGCTCTATGATCCTAAAGGTAACAAGAGAGCCACTGGAGTGTATTAAGTAGGGAAGGGAGCGGCAATGGTCAAATCTGTGCTTTAGGAAAACCACCTGGGCAGCTCTATGGAGAAGGGAGAGAATGAGGAGAGACAAGAAGCAAGGAGACCAATTAGGAGGGTACTGCAATAGTCAAGGCCACATGCATACGGGCCCGTAGTGGGGACTGTGTGAAAAGACAAGTGTGGATGTAAAAGACATCAGCCTAACAAAATGTAGCCACTGAAGGGATCTGTGGGCTGAATGAGGACGAGGAATCAAGGATGACACTGGGGTGCAAACCCGGATGAGGATGAGAATGAGGGTGGTGTCCCGGACGGAATTACAAAGTTCAGAAGAAAAAAGTGAGGCGTTCTGTTAGAGATGTGCTGAATTTGAGATACCTATGGAACAACAACCCAGTTCAAAGTATCTAAAAGGCAGTAGGTGATGCACAACGGGAGCTTAGGAGAGACCTGGACATGTGTATCTGGGAGTCATCTGTGTAGGGATGTCAGGGCCCTGATTGGCTCAGAGTGAATATAAATAGCAGTTGTTTCTGTGTTGGCCAGAAACCCCGAGGGTCTTCCCTTCCCAGATGGATTTTTTTTTTGGACTAGGTGAAAGAAGCCATCCTCTGTCTCATTTCTCACCTAGCTTCAATCACTAAATGGGCGTTGCCTCGGTCAAACTGAGATCTGTTAAAGACCTTACCTTAAAAAGGCCAAGGTATCCCACTGTATCCAGGGTCACCTCCAGTCATCCTAATCTATATCTTGTCACTGTACCCAGATGGTTCCAGAGGAGAAAGTGAGGCTGGTGACTCTGCATAGCATTCTCTCACTTAAATCCAACTCACCTGCATGTCATGGCATGACCTCCCTGATGGTCCTCTTCAAGAATGAAGGACAAACAACAACAACAGCTGATGAGGTCACAAAGTTAAAGAGAACAGGGAAGGCCCAGCACAGGCTCTGGGAGTACACCCAGTCAGGGAGCATGACGTGAATGATGATTCAGCAAAGAAGACTAAGAGGGGCTAGTCAGGTGAGAGAACCAAGAGACAAACATGTCACAAAAACTCAGAGTATTAAGTATCCACAAGGAGAAGCTGGTCAAGAGCAACATGCTGCAGAAAGACCAGGAAGGATGATGACTGAGAAAAGACACTCAGACCTGTCAATTACAAGATCATTGGTAACTTTAGAGAAAAGAGTTTCAGTTAAATAATGAGGTCAAAATCCAGGTGGCAAGAACAAGAAGAGAGGAAGTAGGAGCAAAAAGGGTAGACAGTTTTTTGAAGGCATTTGACTAAAGAGAGCTATAGGATGATAACTTTCAAGAATGGTAGGGTCCAATGATGATTTTTAAAGGATAAAGGAGAATTAGTTGAGTTTGTAGACAGAAGGGAAAAATCTATTAAAAAGGATGGTCGTGGGGCAATCTGTTAGAGAAGACTAAAAGGGGCATACAGATGAACAGTACACACAGAGAAGCTGGTCCTGGCAAGAAGGGCCACCTCTTTATCAGACTGGAGTCAAGGCAGAGGTAACGAAGGATCATGCCAAGGAACTGGATGATGGGAAGAAGGGTGGTGCTCATGGCAAATGGTCTCCATTTTCTCAGTCAAGAATGAAGTGAGGATGCGCTGTCTTGGGGAGGGTGGGGGGGAGGAAGGGGGAGAAAAATTTTCAACTCAAAAGCATATGGAAGTGATTGTTGATAAATCAAAATAATGAAGTAAGGAAAGGACTGGGCATCCAGGAGGAAGTCAAGTGGAGCCACATGCCACTATCTGATGCCAAAAGAAATTCTAAGAAATTTTTAAAAGTACTCAAATCCTTGTTAACCGAAATTCTTGAATGACGCTAATGGCCTTGCTAGAAAAGCATCCCAGAAAGCCAGATAGAGAATCTTACAACAGTTTCTAAGTTACTCAGCACAGTGCCTGGGACATAGTAAGCATTTAATAAACGCTTGACGCCTTGCTTGTTTAAAGTGTGCGTGTAACTATAAAATCTAGACCTACTACCTCATTCATTCTGAAGGTGATGGGAAACTGATTACACAAGATGTCATTAACCCTGATCAATCTTGAAGCAATCTCAGAATTTTAATTAATCCCAGGGCAGCTAAACTAACTCCATAGCTGTTTGAATCTAGGGCTAGTGGTAGTAAATGCTTGGATAAGACAAAGGAACAAAGAAAGGACAGAGATCTGTCTTGCTATTGCTTCCTGTCCTTTCTTCTGTTTTCTAATCCAAAAACCACACTGTATTTCTGAGAGTACCTAGATGATTAGGAGGACTCATGCAGTGACATGTCCAGTAAATTTTAGCCCAAAATAACCCAGAGAATACAAGATGGAGATGACCTCCAGATAGCCTGATTGGCACATAATCAGGGAAAGACTAAAAGCAAATGTAAGTACAAGTCTACTCTGGTTTAACTAAGAAAGCCAAAACTCAGGTGGAAGGAAAAGGCTCAGCTGTCATGAAATCTCTTTGAAATGTGATATTAATGGATTTGAGGCTGCCTTCTAGAAGCTGAGAGGAAAGCGAAGGGATAAGTACAGCATTCAAGTTGTGTTTCTTAAAGATAAGATGCGCAATCTTTCCTGGGTGAGTCAAGCTGACCTGCTTTTGCTCAGCTCCAGACAAGAAAACGAACTAACAAGCCATCAAGCCAACTAAGAATCCCTTCTTGTCAGCAGCACAGCAGCATAACTTTGCCAGTGCATCACACAAACTTATCATCGTGGCCACAAATCATTTGAGTTTTATCTAGTATATGACACTTACACTATGAATATTTACTAATCAGCAGGCCAACATTAACGAGCCAAAGTCCTTTCAGTACATACCTTCAACTGGAACAGGGTATCTGAAAAGAGAAAAGATACAGTTTAAGAATTTTAGAAGTGATTAAATTAAAAGACTACAGCTTTTTCTGCTATATTTAAAATGGCTGTTTCTTGATGCTAATGGAACTAAGAGAAGGGAGGTCAATCAATAAATATGTATATTGAACAGGATTCCAAAGTTACATTGAGAAGGAACTTTACAGTGATCATCTTGCTCACCACCACCCCCATTTTACAGACGAGGAAACTGAAGCCCAGAGAAGTGAAATTATTGACGACAGGTCAAAGGTATTAAGCACCATACCAGGTGTCCTGTCTTATGGGTTCCATTCCAAAGTACCTCATTAGGGGGTTTTTCCCTACTCTTCTCCAGTTGGTTAATGGATAATGTTGAGTGTCTCACTGGCTTTGGATTTCCCTTTCAAACTTTCTGATCAGAGGAAAATGAATAAGAAAGCAGGGTGATGGTGTTTATGGCATCAGAAAGTCCCAATTCTAGAAAGCTGGAAGAGAATGTTTTGGTCGTGTTATGAGTTTTTTGTTTTCTGGCTATTCCCCTCCATGCATATTTGGCCACTTCTGCAAAGAGATGTACAAGTAACTTGACAAGTCATTCAGACATGAAATATTAGCCATAGGGTTCTCCCTGTTAACCAAATAAGGAAAAAAAATTTTAGAAGGTATAAATAATTTACTGCTGCAACTCAAGTCTCCCAAACAGTGCTGGCAGAAGTGTTTCTGCTATCTATGATACACAGTCATTGCCCTAGGCCTTCAACTGCCACAGGTATATAAACCAGCCTAATCGATGCCACACCCAGACTGTTGCAGTGATCTCAGCAGAGGTCTACAACACCGGTGAAAATTCTGTTTTGGGAGAAAATGATTTCATCTCAGAGGAAATGACTACTGTTGAGTAAAATTGCGTTTGGGGATGAAAGTGAATGATGTGTATAATCTTATCATGACCAAGCATGACCCCCCCCCAGAAGAGATAATGCATCTCCCTCTCCTTTCTTTTGGGGGGCAGGTAGGGGAAACCCAGGCCATACAGATGTGAGATATTGCATACGCTGTCATACTCAGTTCATGTATTGGTTAGTTTAGTTGTACTGCTTTCTTTCCTTGTGTTTTTTTAGTCTTTGCTAAAGGGATAGCTCCAGGGGTAGAAGGATATATAGAAAAATTAAAGTGAATTAAAATGTTATTAATACACATTTTTAAAGTGAAAACAAAACTGGGTTTGGACTAAGTTATCATGTGGCATTAATATTGCATGCATTGCTATATGACTCTGACACAGGACTGGGAAATTTAGCAATCAGACAGCACTTAAAACCCTCATTCGGGCCTCTGAGCATTTTGGCAAAAATAGCTTTCTGTCTTTTTAAAGTCAGGCTTCTACTGCAAAAAGTTATTAGGGACGTTGTAAAAAGAATTCATGTTCAGTCAAGAGTTGAAATAGATAATTGCAGAAATCCTCCCAACTCTGATATTCTGTGATTCCCTTAGTGTATCTGATTTTTCAAGTTTACCTCTTGTGAACGATATCTGTTACCTATGTTTACGCCTTTAAAAAAGACTAAACTATAAGCTTTTCCCAAATCAAAGATGGTCTATTTATTACAGATGTTGCTCAGGCAGAGACTGGATTTAGACGGCCTCTGATGACCTCAGCACACAGTAGGTGCTTAGTAAATTTCTGTTGCGTATTATTTTGTATCTCCCCAAAACTTCTCTCTACAAACAGTGATTTGCACACATCGAGAGATGAAAGGGATCTCACGTATCCTACAAGCATATGGCACTATTTTGGGGGGGAGGGAAGATGCCTGCTGCACCTGAATCAGGCCTCAGAAATGGAGTCTGTTAACTCAGAGCCATGGAATTACAAACGTCCACGCAAATCATCCAGTCCAGGGGTTACCTGAGAACAGCTTCTCTAACATCCTCACGTGTGGCTGGAAGACTACAGGGAATGGGGGAAAAAACAACTCCAAGTGCCGTTCATATTCTAAAATCAATCAATCAACATTGATTAAGCACCTATAATGTACCAGACACCTGCTAAACACCGGGGAGACAAAGGCGGGCAGAGCCAGTGCCTGCCCTCAGGAAACTTACAAACGAAACCGGAAGATGACGCGGGGGGACAGACACCAGGCCCGGCGGCCGGGCTCCCCACCCCAGCCCGCCCCACTGGAGGGAGGGGTCCCACCACGCCCCCTTCCCTCGCATCACGGTTCCCACCCCCAGCTCCTGGCCGCAGAAAGGAACCCTGAGGTAAAGGGGGACGGGGTGGAGCCCCGCCACAGAGCCGGGTCCGAGGGGACTCGGAGGCCGTTCCCCGCCCCCCAACGTCAAACTTCCTCAGCCGCGGGCCCGGGCTCAGGGCGCCCTCTTACCGTCCATGGCGAACGGACCGCGGCGCCGCCGCCTCAGAAGCCGCTGGGCTGGGGCAGAAGAGGGGAGCTGGGCGGGGAGAGGGCTGTCAGCATCCAACCTCGGCGACCCCAGCCGACCCCCGGCGCCCCAGACGGCACTTCCGGGAATGCCCTTCCTGGTGCCGCGCCTCTCTTCTCGCGAGAGGATGGCGCGGGACTCGCCCCGCCCCTTCCCTCTGCCTCATTCCCCGGTCCATGAGGGTGCGCCCCGCCCAATTCCGCGGGGCGGGGCCAAGGAGAGGCGAGTGCCCCCGGGGTGGGCGGGGCCTCCTAGGGTGGGCGGGGCCTGTCCGTAGGCAGTCTTTGCGGTCCGGGAGCTCCCTGACCCGGTGGGGCCCCGGTGCCCCACCCAGCCGGGGTGATGATGATGCCGGGCCTCATTTTTGAGTCACACTGGCCCGGCCTTTGGTAGAGGCGATTGCGAGGGGGCTGGGGTGGAGGAGAGGGCGGAGACGCAGGCGGAACTCGCGGTGAGGGAGCATGGATGAACCCACTTATGGGACTTAACAAAAGCAAAGGTCCCTCAGGTAAAAAGAATGCCCCGGCCCACCCGCCCCCCCTCCTCCCCAGGGGACCCCACCAGCCTCAGCTGGCTGGCCCCTGCCCATAGAGAGCGGGAAGAAGAATCTTCTCCCTGAAACTTTGTGCTGGGCACCAGTCAGCAAGCACTTATTAAGCACTTACTGTATATATGTAGGCTGGGCAGAACACTGGGGCCATGCCAAAAAAAGACAAGAATGTGGTCCCTGCCATTAAGGAGCTCACATTCTAATGGAGGAGACAACATACATAAAAATACAGGCATACTATAGGTATATACAAAATATAGGCAGAGGAAAAGCACTGGGGGAGGGAAGTGTCTCAGAAAGACCTCCCCCAGAGATGAAGTTAGAACTGAGCCTTGAAGAAGGTGGGGGAAGCCAGGAGGCTGAAGGGGCCTGCATTCCAGACTCAAGGAACAAATGAGAAACACTTTTTGGATATGGTGAATATAGGAATTTGTTTTGCTTGACCACTTCTTTGTCACAAGGCAAAGCCTGTTTTCTCCAAAGCGGGGAAGTGGGAAGGAGAGAAAAAAATGTAATTGGAAAAAAAAAAGGAATGGAGTCAATGGATGGAGTGTTGTGTATGAGGAAGAAGAGGTAGGCTATGGCAACTAGGGTATATGAAGAGGAGTTAGGTAAAAAGACTGGTAAGATCTCAGATTATGAAGGGCTTTAAATACAAAAAAGAGTATTTTGTATGTAGTAAGCACATAATAGATGCTTGTTGATTTGATTCTGGAATTGGGAGACACTGAGTTTACTGAGTCAGGGAAGAGTGTCACTCAGTGCTGGGCTTTATAGAGATCGCTTGGCTATTAAGTGAATAGAGCATGGATTGGACTTAGGAGAGATTGTGAGTAGGGATGCTAATCAGAAGGCTGCTGTAGTAATGTAGATGTGAGGTAATATGGCCTGCATTAGGGTAGTGACCGTGCAAGTAGAGAGAAGGAAACGTGTAAGAGACATGAGACATGTGAAGGCAGAAAACAACAAATTGGATATTTAGGATGAGTGAGAGTGAGGAGTCAAAGATGACACCAAGGTTGTAAGCAAGGTATCTGGGAGAACAGTGGTACACTCAACAGTAATAGGAAAGTTAGAAAGAATGGAGGGTTTTTTTTTAATTTTGTGAAAAAGATAGTGAGTTTTCTGTTGAGTTTAAGATACCTACTAGACATCCAACTCGAAATGTCCAAAAGAAAGTTGGTGATTTGGGTCTGGAGCTCAGGAGAGGGGTTAGAGCTGGATATAGGTCAAGGAATCATCTACATTGAGATGATAATTGAATCCATAGGAGCCAAGATCACCAAGCAAGATAGTGTAGAGGAAGAAAAGAAAAGGGCCAAGGCCAGACCGTTGGAAGATGTCAGCAGTTAGTGAGCCAGACCGAGGAAGATAAGATCCAGTGAAGAGGACTGAGGAAGAGCAGTTAGGTAGGAGGAGAAACCAGGAAAAGGCTGCTGTTTCATAATAGAGAGGAGAGCACCCAGGAGAAAAGAGTGATCTATGTCAAAAGCTTCAGAGAACTCAAGAAGGATGAAGATAGAAAAAAAGGCCAATAATTTGGTAATTAAGTGGTCATTCATTGGTAATTTAATTAATAAGCATTTATTTAGTGCCCGCTATGTTCTGTGAGGCACTGTGCTAAGCACTGGGGATACAAAGAAAGGTAAAATACAGTCCTTGCCCTGAAGGAACCCACAAATCTAATGGGGAGACAAAAAGCAAACAAATATGTACAAAGAAGCTACTTACAAGATAAATAGGAAGTAATGTAGAGAAGACACTAGCCTTACTTCCTGTTTCCAGAAGTTGGCATTCCATATCTTCCACATCTCAGCACACAGACATCCTGCACTCTTGGAATACACATTCCCTGCATTCCCTCCTTAGCTTCCTTCAAGAATCATCTCGGGGGCAGCGAGGTGGCGCAGTGGATAGAGCACTGGCCCTGAAGTCAGGAGTACCTGAGTTCCAATCCGGTCTCAGACCAAATGCTTGACACTTGCTGGCTGTGTGTTCCAGGGCAAGTCACTTAACCCCAACTGCCTAAGGCAAAAAAAAAATCATCTCAGGCATCATGTCCTTCTTGAAGGGCTTCCTAAGCCTAGTGGTGATTGCTCTCTTCCTCCTCAAATTCTCTTGATTTTATTTATCTGTGCCACACACTGTATGCCTCCTAGAGAATGTGAGTTGTCCTTCTATCCCCAGCACTTAGGACAGCTCCCTACATGTGATTAATAAACGTTTGTTGAATTGCCCTGATGAGGATTGAGAATCAGGAGCCAAGCTCTCCCCAAACTTTCTCTACTAAGAAGAGTGTGGCAAAGTGATTTGAGGGCTAGCCTTGCTGTCAGGAGGTCCTGGGTCCAAGGCCTCCTCTCACTCATCTTCTATAGCTGTGATCATTTCACTTAACCTTTCACAGCCCAAGCCACTCCTGAAGACTCTAAGCTAGAGAAAAGGTACTCCTCTGCATCAGTAGAAGAAATTCTCACACTGGGAGTTCCAAATTGTTCTCCAAAATGGTTGGAAAAGTTCCCCAAATCAGTGAAATCACCAGGACAGAAAATAATATCTATAATAATAACATTCTTGTGACCTTTTTTAGGCTTACAAAGTTCACATACAATGGATGTTTTTAAAGTATGGGATGTGGGGCAGCTAGGTGGCGCAATGGACAGATCTCCAGCCTTGGATTCAGGAGAACCTTAGTTCAAATCTGGCCTCAGACACATAATACTCACTAGCTGTGTGACCCTGGATAAGTCACTTAACCCCACTGCCTCATCAAAAATAAAATTAAAAAATAAAGTATGGGATGTGATGAAGGATAGCAAAAGTGATTTTACTTGGCATCAAAGGAGAGGAAGTTACCTGCCACACACAGTGAATGAATTGGAAAACGAGTCCCTAAGACCCAGCTGTCAGTCCAGTCGACAATACCGTGCTCTTTTCGGCAGACAGCAATAGCTCAGAGTTGGAAGGTCAGCTACTCCAACCCACACTTAGATAAGAATCCCCCTGACAATATACTTGATAGGTGGTCATACAGACTTTGCTTAAAGACCTCCAGTGAGAGGCCAGCCTTCCAAGGTAGCCCAGTTCATTTTATGGAGTTCTTAGGGGTTGGGAAGGTTTTCCTTACATCAAGCCGCTCTCAGAAGCCGCTCTGACTTCCATCCATTACTGTCATTGCTGCTACTGACAAACCTGACAATTTTTTTCATGTGCTACTTCCACGCAAATAGCCACGTGTTTCTGAAAAGAGAGAACCATTTCCTCCACAGTTGCCTTGATTGGCCACTCCAGGGTGGATGTCACGGGGAACAGAAGAGGCAAATTCTTCATTGCCTTCATCCAATTATCTATTTATCTTCCAGTTACTCCTTTGTTTGTTTCCAGATAAGTCCAGCTCTTCAGTTCGGAAACACAAGAGTAAGAGTCGGGACAGACATGCAGACAAACGATCAACAAGCAGCCGGCCGAGCTCTAGTTCCAATGCTTCCAGCGCTCATGGATCTATAAAAACAAGTTTGAAATCTCCACGGAGTATTAGTGAAACTGGTAGGCAGCATCGAAAAGGGGGTCTCTTCACATCAGGAAGGATATGGCTAGGGTGGAAGGCATATCTTTTGGATTTAATTTCAACAAATATTGATAAAGGAACTAAGATGGAAAGCTTTGGGACACGGATGACCTCAGCCCTGTTTTCGAAGACTATACAATCTAAGTAGTGTATGGGGTGGTAGGAGAAGACATTTATGCAGGTGATCTTAATATGAGGGGAGTGTGATGAAGCGTACAAGGGAGATCTCCGGACAGTGTGCGAAAGGATTTTGAGGAGACATATTTAGGTTGCTTTTTACTGGGAAGATCTGGGGAGGTTTCACAGAAGAGGTAGCTTCTTGGGTTTGATCCTTGAAGGGGAGGTGGGGGAATAAACGTTTACATAGCACCAAGTATGTGCTAGGCACTATGATAAGTAAGCATTTTTACAAACATTATCTCATTTCATCCCCTAACAGCCCTGGGGAGGTGAGTGCTATTGCATCCTATTTTATGGATGAGAAAACTGAAGCAGACAGAGTTAAAGTGACTTACCCATGGTCACACAGGTAGTGTCTCAGGCAGAATTTGAACTCAGATCTTCCTGACTCCAGGCCCAACACTTTATCCACTGTGCCAACTAGCTGCCCCTGAAGGAAGGGATTTCAGCCCGTGGAAATGAAATAGGGAAGTACTGTGTTCAAAAGTGGCTTTGAACAAGGACACACAGGGCCACAAGAGGCCATGCTGAGAACAGATAAAAAACTTGAAAGGGATCAGATGATAGAATGCCTTGACTGCCAAGAGAAGCAATTTATCTTGAATTCAGTGGACAGAGGGGAGTCACTGGAGGCTTTGAGTAGAAGAGTAATGTGATCAGAGGGTGCCTAGAAAGATGACTTGGGAAAGGATTGAAGAAGCAGCCTGGAGGCAGAAAGGATAACTGAGGTCCTGAACCAGGGTGGTTCCCAAGGGAACAGAAAGAAAGGACAGATAGCAGAGATTTTACATAGATGGAATTGGTGACTGGGCTCTGGGGAACTCCTGATCTGCCACTAACAAATTTCCCTTCATCTTAGACCTTTTTCTCTTACCCTCCTTCCATCTTCTTGTGCTCCTCAGATTGGCTCCCAGTAGAAGACACCATATCCATGGCCCTCTCTGAGACTGGGGGAGCCTTCTCTTGTGTCCTGCCTCATTCCCTGGGCCAAGAGGAGGAGAAGGAGGCTTCTTCTTTGCTCCTTGTTTCCACTCCTACTTCTTCCCTCTGCTTTTTTTCTGAGATTGGGTCTCTCCATCTTGCCCAGGCTAGAAGTGCAGCAGCTACCACTAATCGGCATAGAAGCTTTGACCCTCCCTCTATGTTTCCAACATGAGCTGACCTTGCCCCCTCCCTTGGAAGCCTGGTACCCCCCACACACACACACACACACACACGCATGCTCACCACGTTGCTTCCAGACTAGTAGAGACATCCAATCAGTTTTAACTCCATTTGCAGCTCAGAACTCCTGAGCTCAAGCAGCTCACCAATCTCAGCCTCACCTAGTAGTCAGGAACATAGGCATGTGCTGCTTCAATGCTTAACAACCCCTTTTCCTTTGAGGTTCATTTCTGCCATCTATATACTACCCTATCAATACTCTTTTGGCATTAATCTGCTTCCCCCCAGGTCATTCTCCCTCCTTTCTCAAGGTGTTAGGTATCTAATTCACAATCTCCCTCTCTGTCCCAGCCACTGCCTGTGTTTCTTGATGGAAAGATGTTGATGTCCCCTGGCCTTCCTGTTCACGAATATCCTGAATGTACCTTTCCTCCATCTCAGCCGACACTCTGAAATGTCTCTCATCAGCAGCATTTCTTATCCTTCCATCTCTCCCTCTGCCTGCCTCTTCCTAAATCTCTTCTTCATCCTCACTGAGAGCTCTAGTCCCTAAGTCTTTCCGTGTTCCATCGCTGCCATCTCTGACTTCATCCTGCTTTCTGCTCCATCGAGGGAGCCAGTGCACCCAGACCCTCTCCACTGCCCCAGAATCTCTTGTGCTGGTGCCAGCCATGCCTACCAGACCCCGAGCCTGGGTTGTCCCCAATGTCTGGCTTCTCTGTTCCTGTTCTGAAGGAAGTCACTACCCTGCAAAATGGTTCCATGAGAACTTATCTTCCATGAAATCAACTGTGCCCTCACTATTTCTTGGAGTAATCCTTTTCTTCTTCCCCAGTAGATTCAAACAATCCCCACATTGTCTATTTCAGATCTTTCAGATCCTCATACCTCTCTCTCTCCCTCCCCCCCACCCTCTGTCTGTGAGTTGACCAGGAATAATTCATGTCCTCCATCATGAGCTCCCTTTTCTCTCCCCTCCAAACCTCTCAAACCACCCACAAAACCCTCCTTCTCTTCTCCTCTGTTCCGGGCTCTGAGGTGGAGTTGGTCTTTCTCCTTTCCTAGGGCAGCACCTCACCTTGTGCCTTCTGTCTCATCCCCTGCTGTCTCCTCAAGGACTCATCCCCTCACTCTTCTCCAGCCTCGATGTCTCCTTATCTATCAGCTCCTTCTCCACAGCCTACAAACATGCCTGGGTGTCTCTATCCTTCAACAAAACTCCCTTGGGCGTACTACCAGCCTCTCAAGTTCTCATTCTGCATCTCTCCTCCTTTTCACAGCCAGATTCCTGGAAACAGCCATCTGCCCTCACTTGAGTGTGATATAATCCACTTCCTCACCTCACTGCTCACTTTTCCAAGGTCAGCAATAATCTCCTACATGCTAGATCCAGTGGTATTTCCTCAGTCTTCATTCTCCTTGGCCTCATTAAAGTTTTTGACACTGTAAACTACCTCCTGGATGCTCTCCTCTCTTGGCTTCCAGGATACTGCTCCCTCCTGGTTTTCCTCCTCTCTTTCTGACCCCTCCTTCTTCATCTTCTTCATTGAATCATTAGCCACGTCCTGCCTTCTACCTGTGGGGATCCCTCGAGGCTTTATCCTGATGCCTTTTTCTCTTCTGTCTCTTGACCCTCTCACTTGTCAATCTTATCACCTCCCTGGGGGTTCAGTGATCCCCTCAGCACAGGAGATGCCAAGTCTGTATATCCAGCCCAAACTTCTCTTTGGAGCACCAGGCCTCTATCACCAAGTCCCATGTGAGGAGAGATCCACAAATCCAGAGAGCAGAAGGGGACCCAGATGGAAGGGACAATATGGACTAGCACGGCCAATGTGTTACTTGTTTTCCTCTATTGTATATATTTGTTACGAGGGGGGGAGGTGGAGAAAGGGTTCATGGGTAGTGAGAGACATACAAAAGAACATCAATAAAACACCATTTAAATGGACAGAAGAAAACAAAAAATAGAGGGGGCACAAATAGGACCATCATATCACTGCTTTGTCAAATTTAATAAAAATGCGCAGGTATGTTTCTTTTTAAAAAGCGATATAACAAACTCACAATTTCTCATACGATCTCCTTTTCTGTTCTTCTGTGTATACTGAAATGTTCGTGTTGGTGGGTGATTATCAAGTTCCGCCTCAGAAAAGGATTTTTTCTGAAGAGGAAGAAAGAAACTGCACCAGCTCTGGAGGTCAGAGCAGCTGAGTTTCAGTCCCACTCTCTGTCGCTCAATACTCGTCCAGGGTCTCAGATTCCTCATCTGTAAAACGAGGGCATCGGGCTCCGTGGCTCCTGAGGTCCCCTCTGGCGCAGGGTCTGTGATCCCAAGAGGAACTCACCCATTGTTACAGGAACATGAAAGTTCAAAGTAATCTTTAAAGTGTTAACTATAAATACATGTTTAGGTTGTTTAAAATTTCCTGGAGCATTGTGTTCATTGTGATTCACGTCATTGAGCTTCCCTCAGGTTAATTTTGTAATGTCCATATGTAATCTGTGGGAGAGTCTATTTGGTTTTTTTCATCCATTCATTTCACAGTGTTCTAACTAGGGCAGATCCATCATGGCTTTGTTCAGGACATCCAAAGTTAGAGAGTCACTCTTAGCCCTTTTAGTCCTTGAGCAGCATAGAAACAACTGAATTTAGTACCTGCCTACCTAGAAGACCCTTCCAAGGGTCAGCTTCCTCCCACAAGGGCTCACAGACGTGGTGGGCTCCTGTCTGCTCTCCCTGACTCTCCATTCTTTGCTGGCAGACTCCCTAGAAGCAGCCTAGTGGTGTCCCAGGGTATCTGCCACACCCATGCCCAGCAACTGGATTCAGTGAAATTGCCTTTTTGACCACGTGGTGGCTGCAAGGGGGCTAGTTTCACATCTGTTTAGTAATCACCATACTCCACAAACACACACAGTAGGTGCTTGATAAATATTTGCATAAATTGTACAAAAGGAAAAGAAACATGCCACCCTCAAAGTAATTCAGGATACCCTAGACGTTTCAATGTCCACTGAGTCAGGGGAGTATGAAGTTTGGATAAGAAATGGCCCTGGAAAATACTACGGATACAGACATGGCTCCCTCTATTACTCAACACAACATTCCCTCAATAAGCTCCTAGGTGTGGAGCTGGCAGGGATCTCAGAATTCATTCAGTCCACCCCTGACCCTCCATTTTACAGTTGAGGAAAGGAGATGCAGGGAGTTTAAATGACCAAAGTCACCTAAGGAGGCAGGATGTGAACCTATTCCTTTTGACTACAGAGCCCGGGCTCTGTCTGCTATACCATGTATTAGGAAGGAACAGAGCAACTTCCATGTGAGGTGGGGGGTTGTCACTAACCAGGAAGATCCAGGAGGTCTTCATGGAGGAGGTGGCTTTGGGCTGCATTTTCAAGAATGAGGAGAAGGTTAGGAGATGAAGAGAGGGAGGGAAGGCATTCTTGATGAGATGAACCCAGTGACCAAAGGCCTGGAAAGGGAAAGCACAGCTAACCAAGGACCTGTCAAACACCCTTAGTCATTGTCATTTAGTCATTAGTCACAGGAACCCCAGCATTATACACACACACACACACACACACACACACACACACACACACACACACTGAAACACAAACCTAAATCAGTCCTAACCAGTTATATATTACCATTTACATTTTAAAGTTAGAGCATTTTTATGATAAAAAAAAAAAACAAACATGCTAGGTTAGCACCCAGTCTGGCTTCTCCCCCAACTTGACATTCACAAGTTTGTAGGTTATGTGTGTATGAAGAGGGATTACTACAACTTCAAGATACTGTGTTAGGTCCAAGCTCATGGGTGACCCCTCCCTTACTGGGGAGCCAGGTAATACATGTAATTAGTTTAAGGCAGAGCCATTATTAAGATGGTACAGTGAGTTACCATTGTTAACACACAGGAGTTCTCTGTTTGTTTGAATGATGCTTAGATTTCCCTCCATTCCCCTCCCTTTAGGTAAACAGCAGAAGTCGAAAACCTTTGTTATTCCCCAAATCATTGTTACTCGAGCTTCCACCGACTTGGGTATAGCACCAGAGGAAGATGTGCAAAAGACCATAAGGGACCAGATGGACTACGGCCCCTACTACCGGCACAGGAACCCCAGCACTGTTGATGCGTACACTAAAACCCAGCCTGAGGCTCCAAAAACCAAATCATTCGTGTAGAGGTCCTCTGAGACCCCAATGCCATCTTCAGAATGTGGCTAACGCTCTTCTCTGACAAGCAGGCTTGGCCTCACTTCTACCAGTGCCACATGCAGTTTGGAGGAAAGCAGGAATGACTCGTCTTTGGAGAGGGAACTAGGAAGCTTTGTTTAAATAAATAAATGAATTTTGACTGGATGATTGGTAATGAGGCAATAGGGAGATCAGAGGACCCCAAACTTGTCCCTTTTTTAAAATTAATTTATTTTGATTTATCAACAATCATTTCCATATGCTTTTGAGTTTTAAATTTTTCTACCGCTTCCTTCCCACTACCCTCTCCAAGATGGCACACAATCTGATATGGGCTGTACATATATATTCCTATTAAACATATTTTCACATTAGTGATGTTGTAAGGAAGAATTAGAATTGATAGGAGGAACCACCAGAAAGAGGAAATAAAACTCAATAGAAGAAAAAAAGTAGCAAATAGTATGCATCGATCTGCATTCAAACTCCATAGTTCTTTCTTTGGATGTGGACAGCATTTTCCATCATGAGGCCTCTGGAGATGTCTTAGATCCTTGTATTGCTGGGAAGGGTTAAGTTTATCAATATTAGTCATTGCACAACATAGCTGTTATTGTGTACAATGTTCTCTTGGTTCTGCTCACTTCACTCAGCATCAGACCATACAAGTCTTTCCAGGTTTTTCAAAAGTCAGCCTGTTCATCATTTCTTATAGCACAGTAGTATTCCATTACATTCATATATCACAACTTGCTCAGCCATTCCCCAACTGATGGGCATCCTCTCAATTTCCAATTCTTTGCCACCACAAAAAGAGCTGCTATGAATACTTTTGTACATGTGGGTCCTTTTCCCATTTGTATGATCTCTTTGGGATAGAACCCTAGAAGTGCTATTGCTGGGTCAAAGGGTATGCACAATTTGATAGCCCTTTGGGCATAGTTCCAAACTGCTCTCCAAAATGGTTGGATCATTTCATAACTCCACCAACAATGCATTAGTGTTCCAATTTTCCCACGTCTTCTCCAACATTTATCATTTTCCTGTTTTGTCATCTTGGCTAATCTGATAGGTGTGATGTGGTACCTCAGAGTCATTTTTATTTGCATTTCTCTAATCAATAGTGATTTAGAGCATTTTTTTCATATAACTATAGATGGCTTTAATTTCTTCATCTGAGAACTGCCTGTTCATATCCTTTGACCATTTATCAATTGGGGAATGACTTGTATTCTTATAAATTTGACTTAATTCTCTATATATTTTAGAAATAAGGCCCTTATCAGAGAGACTGGTTGTAGACTCCAAACTTATCTAATAAGTTAAAAAGTCTTTCAGTACACCTTTGAGGGAGAAAAATCCCAATGGTAAGCATACCTGTAACCAGATTACAGATTTAGGAAGAATGCAGTCATTATTCAGAGGCACAGAGGGTTAGGGGGTAGAGGGTAGTATTTAGAGTTAAAAAAAAATTAGTGGGAGGAAGCCATATGTAACTTTTAAAATTTTATTTTATTTTAATTTATGGAATAAAACAAGCATTTCCATAATATAGTATAACAAAAAAAAGATGATTGCGTATGAAACTGCAACTGTTATGTACTACTCACTGTTCTTATTAAATACATAATAAAAAGGGCAGCGAGGTGATGCAGTGGATAGAGTGCCAGCCTTGGAGTTCAGACAACCTGAGTTCAAATCTGGCCTCAGACCAAACACTTGACACTTAATAGCTGTGTGACCCTGGGCAAGTCACTTAACCCCAATTGCCTAAAAATAAAAAAATTAAAATTAAATATGTAATAAAGTTATCATATAAATCTCTTCCTCCCCTCCATGATAGCTACAGTTAGACACATATAACTTATTTAAATGGCTCTGTATAAATATGTTGACCCAGTGTTGAGATACCTAATCTATATAGTTCTAAGTAATAAGAAATGGTTTCAGTTGTGGGAAGTCCTTAAGGGAAGCTTGAAGGGTCTTTTGACCCTTCAAAGATAATCAGGCTATCCTCCTATCACTGAGATATGCCTCAGTTATTTTGACTCTCTTGGCTGGAAATCCAGTGTATTTCAGAGAAAAACAGTATCCAGGGGAGAAAAAAAGCAATCTTCTGCCGTGCCAAGGTGTAGGAACTTTAGATGTGGTTAGCAGGATGTAATCACAGATAGTCATTTTTATTAGGACAGGTAGAGCCAGAAATAGCACTCACAAGCCAGCATCACAAGGAAACCAGTGAAGGGGAAGACAAGCAAAATTTGTATAATTGACAGTCCAAGTGAAACTTTAAAAACAAAAAAAGCTAAAAATTTCTCCTTAAACCAAGGTCAGATTAAGAAATTAGAGATAACTTGCAGTTTAGTTGGTAGGAAATATCATAAAAAGGGGGAATATGACCAAATTATGTGCTAATCTGAATTCAATTATGAGAACGATTAGAAAGTCTTAAGTTGGCAGTCATACCCCAAGGTGCCAGTTAGTGCCTAAGAAGAAAATTACTAACTTACAAACGACTATGTCAGCAAATCCCCAGCTATAATGTGATGAACAGTATGACACATATTCTTACAAATATTCCACTCTATCCTTGGCAGTTATTATTATTCTAAAGTTAAACAACTTTGAGATGGATCCAAATGCCAGAGAAAAGCCAGGAAGTTGTCTGAGCTCTCCCCAGTTTCCCTCAGAAATAACATTAAATCAAGCCTCAAAAAAAGAATTCTAGAGTGACAGAATCTACTAAAAGATGGAGTGAAACAATTTTCCCACCCAAGTTAACTTAGGACTTCAGGAAAGGTCTGTCTCGCTTGAGTAAAAGGGGAGCACAGCCCAGTGTAGGTAGTATCTGGGCAAGCCAGCAGGAAGCTCTTGGCCACAGCACAGATCAGTGCCATAGCCCCTGTGGTTCTGGCTCAGCAGGGCACTGGTCTAGCAGGCCAGCTGTGAGGCCTTCAGCCCCAACACAGCAGGCAAACTGCCAGTCCTGGAACCCAGGGCACAACAGAAGCAAAAGGCTGGGCCACCCTAGCACAGTGGGCAAGACATCAGCTCCAGAGGCCCCAGCGCAGAAAGCCAGGGACCAGCCCCCTGGCCCTCAGTGCAAGAAGCTTGGGACAGTGCCCCCTGTACCCCAGGAGCAGAGCTCAACTTTTTAAAATGAGCAAAAGACAAAAAAGGAGCACTAACCATAGAAAGCTACTATGGTGACAGGGGAGATCAAAACAAACTCAGAAGAGGATGCCTACACGGAAGGCTCAAAGGGAAATATGAATTGGTCTCAAGCCCAAAAAGTCCTCTTGAAAGAGCTAAAAAAAAAAATCTAAAAATAGAGTAAGAGAGGTAAAAGAAAAATTGGGAAAAGAAATGAGAGTTATGCAAGAAAATTATGAAGAAAGAGTCAATAGCTTGGAAAAGGAAGCACAAAAATTGACTGAAGAAAACAACTCCTTAGAAAATAGAACTGGCCAAATTGGGGAGGGGGGGGGGGAAATCCACTGAAGAAAACAACCCCTTTAAAAGTAGAACTGGCCAAATGGAAAAGGAGGTACAAAAGCTAACTGAATAAAATAATAACTTAAAAAATAGAATTGGGCATGAAAGCTAATGACTCTATGAAACATCAAGAATTAGTCAAACAAAATCAAAAGGATGAAAAAATAAAAGAAAATGTAAAATACCTCATTGGAAAAACAATTGACCTGGAAAATAGATCCAGGAGAGATAATTTAAAAATCATTGGACTACTTGAAAGCCATGATCAAAAAAAAAAAAAAGGCCCTCGATAGCATCTTTCAAGAAATTATCAAGCAAAACTTCCCAATATCCTAGAACCAGAGGGTAAAATAGTCATTGAAAGAATTTATTGATCACCTCTTGAAAGAGATCCCAAAATGAAAACTCCAAGGAATATTGTAGCCAAATTCTAGAACTATCAGGTTAAAGAGAAAATAGTGCAAGGGGCCAAAAAGAAACAATTCAAATATCAAGGATCCACAGTCAGGATTACACAGGACTTAGCAGCTTCTACATTAAAGGATCAGAAGGCTTGGAATATGATATTCCAGAAGGCAAAAGAGCTTGAATTACAAGAAGGAATCAACTACCCAGCAAAACTGAACATAATCTTTCTGGGGAAAATGTGGACATTCAATGAAATAGGAGGCTTTCAAACTTTCCTGATTGAAAAGACCAGAGCCGAACAGAAAATTCAGTCTTCAAATACAAGGCTCAAGAGAAGCATAAAAAGGTAAATAGGAAAGAAACCCATGGTATTCAATGAGATTAAACTGTTTACATCCCTACATAGGAAGATCATACCTTGTAACTCTTAAGAGCTGTATCTCTATTAGACAGTTAGAAGGACTATACTTAAGGTGTGGGTATAAGTTGATGATAAAAAAAAATAAGAGGTTAAAAAAGGATTTTACTGAGAGGAGAGGAAAGAGAGAGGCAGAATGGGCTAAATTATCACATGAAGAGGTATGAAAGACCTATTACAGTAGAGAGAAAGAAGGGACAGGGGTGAGCATTGTTTGAAACTTACTCTAATTGGATTTGGCTCAAAAAGGGAATAACATACACATTCAGTTGGGTAGAGAAATCTATCTTACCCTATAGGGAAGTAGGAGGGGAAAGAGGAAAGAAAAGGGAGGGGAGCTGAGAGAAGGGAGACCAGATTAGGTGAGGTGGTGGTAAGAAGCAAAACAGTGGTGAGGAGGGACAGGATGAAAGCAGAGAAAAGTATAAAAAGGAGAAAAAATAGGATGGAAGGAAATACACAGTAGTCATAACTGCAAATGTGAATGGGATGAACTCTCTCATAAAATGAAAGCAAATAGTAAACCCAGAATCCTACATATGTTGTTTACAAGAAATATTTGAAATAGAGACATGCAGAGTAAAGGTAAAAGGCTAAAGCAGAATATATTATGCTTCCACTGAAATTTTAAAAAAGCAAATTAAAGGATAGCAATCCTGATCTCAGACAAAGCAAAACCACAAATAGATCTAATTAAAAGAGATAAGGAAGGAAACTACATCTTGCTAAAAGGTGCCATAGACAATGAAGTAATATCAGTATTAAACATATGTGTACCAAGTGGTACAGCAACCAGATTCTTAGAGGAGAAATTAAATGAGTTACAAGAAAAAAATAGACAGCAAAACTAT